GTTTTTATCTCAACCTGAATCAGTACTGCAATTAGCAGAATGAAACGTCGTAGTAATTATCAGCTGATCGGCTAACATGCGACTTCAGCAAGCATCCATCACACTCTCTGGAAACTAGTGCTTGCTAACGAACTCTTATAACATTATGAATTACAACCACAGTTTGTAAACATCGTTAACTTTTATGTGGTCTTAAAAAACAAAACAATCAAAGATCTATTTGAAACAATGACCCTATAAAATTACTGTTATGCGTTCAAATCTAGTCATTAGATAGACAATCAACGAATAAAAAGTTAATTATCAATGAGGTCAACGTCATCAAATGAAGTTCGCGATGTTGGGTCCAATTCATCAATTGCCGTGCTGAATCAATTCGTTCGCTGCTCCGCGGGGAGCTAATAGGAGCACAGGACAATATCACCCACGTATTGACGCAACACATAAGGTTACTAAACCGACTAGCTACTTAATTATCCTTCAGCACACATAAACCAAACGGCAAGAAGACCTGGATTAAAAAAAAAAGGAAGCACTGGCAATGTCTGTTACTCTACTGGGAATGTTTCAAAGTTCTCATCTTGGTGTGCAACTTACTCAATTTGTAAACTTTTTGTACAAAAAATAAATTGAATGAGTCGTCGTCATTTAAGTTTTGGGCTATCAATGTATTTTTATTGCTATCACTGGATAACCATGAAAAATACGCCGTAAGTACTGACTTAGAACCGACAAACTTTACTATCCCTTATATTAAGATATATGAATCGTTGACAAAAAGAGGCATACAATTATGAATCACTTGACTAAATGCAATATCTATAGTTAAAAGTACTTGAAGTATAATGATTTACGAACACATATATCTGTAAAAAGCAAGTCTGTTGACAAGCACGAGTTATAAATCTCATAATTCACAGAATAAAGCAACATTAAACGCATTCACAACAAGTCACCTAGTATAAAATATGATTCGTGAAGTTAGCAGTTAAAATAGATTGAATGGCGTTGGCGCATTGCATTATAGTAACAAGACTAGAATATGAAACTTAAGACACCCACGTAAGAAATAATATTGCGAATATTACTTTGAATCTTAGGAGTCATTTCAGTTAGCCCAAGTTTATGCTGCATCCCGTGGAAAATAGAACTCCAAAACAGTTGAGAATCCTTAACTTACATTTCCTGTCCCGCGTTCAAATGCTTGATTGCAACTAAGTACTATCTACATAAAATCTACAAATCTACTTGTCAGACTTTACAGAGAGTCTTTAACTCTATAAAGTATGGTTCATCTCAAAAGTAGGACTTAAAAGTTTAATAGTTATTTACAATTTCAAAGTCTATGATTACAAAAACGTTGATAGTACTGTTACGTCGAGTTTCTTGTTTCGTATGTCGGTCAGCCGCCGAGCGAGGGAAGCCGTTCCACAGTGACTCACAACTTGCTCGCAGCGTTGCCACGCGTACCATTTGGGGACCTTGATGTGTTATTTCTCTGTCGATGGTTCGACGCTTAATAATAAACACACGGCCACATATCATGACATAATATACCACAAGTTATGTATTCAAAAGATTCCTAACATTTGAAAAAAACTGCTTAGAAATTGCAGATTTTTGCAGTTGACATAATTAAAGTCTTTTAGAAGCTTATAAAGGAATGGGGTCGTAGCATTGCTCTTTGAAGTGCGGCAAACTTAGGCTTCCAAAGAAACTCCTTGGAAACGTTTAACTGAGAATTGACGGGACTTTAGCTCGTGGTTATTTATACAGAGTGTCGCTTTCGCGGACGAGATTGAAATCCTTAACTAGATGTTAATGAATTTCAACCAGGCTTTCTATGGGTTTATGGTACTTGAAGGGAACCATGGGTGAAAATGTGGTTATTTACGTCAAGGGTGCCTAAATATGACTAATTTGTAATGTGGAAAGACTCTGTGATAGTTATTTTTGGGCTTCAAATTGTACGACATAGTTTTACAAATCGCTGTTCATTATTTTGTAAGCAGTGGATAGGGGCCCTCAGAACAACGCAACCTTGGACGACTCGTGGGCGACCAGGAAGTGGTTTGACACGAACATGAACGTAAAATGAACATGTTCTCATGAATCGTATTTTATTTTTCTTTCCACTTCATTTGATAGAATAGATTTTTGGTGGTAAGTATTACGAGTGAAGATCCTTGTAGCGACTTCAAAGACAATAAAAATTAAAAGGTTTATCTCATATTTGTATCTTTTACGAATCACTACTAAGCTAGATCAAAACCTAAAATTGAGGTTGAAATAGAAATAAAATCGGCATTACCACCAAAATTTACCGAGGATGGGATGGGATGTTGAGCGAGTTGGTCGTAACCTTGCGTATTTATTGCCATGCATGGTACACGGGCAATATTGATGGCTTCCTGTGGTGCATGCAGCATTCTCGCCACTTTACACTACCTCTAGATAAATATAAAGGTAACTCATTCTCTTTGGCACATATTGAACGGTTTCACAAATAATGAACTTTAAAGACATATTAATTGATATGACGATGAATCAATTCTGTGCTAAGGACATAAAAATAAAAGCAATGAATCGTTTCCTAAGAAATCGAAATAGGAGACTCGAAGTGGCAGTTGGCGCTTACACCCACATTCATGACAGATTGTTAAATGGAAACGTTTGTTTAACCTACATAATAAACAAGGATTTCTGAACGTTAACCGTTACAGATCAAATGACCTACGACCCCCGACAAATTGATAGACACATCTGTGTTATTTTTACTCGCAAAATTAATCATATATTGTATAATATATGATAGAAACATTTATTAATGGTTTACGATTAATATTCAAATTAATTCATTTCACACAATTTAAAAGCAACAATTCGTTGCTGGTATTTTTATAACTATGTTCGTAATAAGCAATTAATGGCAACACAATCGTCCCGCGCTGTCGTTGCGGTCGGCGCGTGCGCCGGTCGTGCCGTATATGGAGCTGGCGGTACGCAACAAGGCCGCGCAGTCGCCGCCCCAACGCCATCATTATATTAAAATAAATGGTAAACTCTTCAGCGAGCCATGGTTTTTATGAATCGATTTTGCAGAAGGAATTTCAGACGAAAATGCGGAAATTGTTTTATAAAGTGAATACCAAGGTTTTCTTGCCAAATCCGGGAAGGTATACCATGGCAAATATAGGTACTCTCTTCACAACACAAGCATAATAAATAGAGTAGTCACAGGCCACAAGAAACAGTCAAAAATATTTTTTAAGAACATTTTGTGAATCAATGTTTTTTAACTCGGAGTATATTACTTTCATGAGTAACTATTGATTACATCACCACTTCAAAACTAAATTCTTTGAATAAAGAATTCTGATTTACATAAAGGTAAAATGAAGAATAAACAAGTCTACAGAATATTGTCATTAGTCAGACAGGATTCTAAGTTTTCCTCAATTTTCCTATATGGTATTCTTAGTTTACACTTTAATTTGGAATTTAAGAACCTACTTTGGCTCGTAATTATATAAAATTATTATACAAATCAACTTGACAATGAACTTGACTGCAAAAATTTTAATGAAAGTACGAGACTGAGTATGAACGTAAATAATAATTTTATTAAAAAAAAAATCCAAAATAATGCTGGATGTTTAAAAATTATTTCAGGCAGATATCGTTGTGATGAGTAAACAATAGTTAAACTGTCAAACACTGAGCGGTCACAGGTGACCACAACCTATTGTTCTTTAATTGTGTCTATAATGACGGTACTCAATGAGTTAATAGATATAGATTGTCTTGCAATAGACCGGCTCCTAAAGGCTAGATAATATAAACAAAACTTGGCCCACAGACTAAAGAATTAGCTTCAAGCTTAATTTTAAGAAAGCTATAAAAACTGGGTCCAACCGGAAGGAGCCCCCGAACCGTCATACATATTTTAAAACAAAGTCTTTAATCAAAACTGTCTGTTTGGGATAAACAAAAAACTATGGGACGGATTTTCATGCAATTTCTGAAACTTTGAGTCCTAAATATGAGTAATAGTCTGAGTCCTATGAGAGAAACAGTGGACTTGTGTGTGTGAGTGTTACATATAGTTAAAGAGAATTAAGAATTTACTTTAAAATGTAACATTGGTAGAAATTATTTGTAATAAAATAATTGAACTCTTAAAAGTCCAGAGTTTCGACAACACATCTTGAAATAAGAATTCTAACTAATTGTATTATAAAATTATAAATGATTTAAACAGTAGGCTATTTACAATAATTTTTAGTAGACTCAATATGATGCTACATGTATGTTACTGCTCCTTTTAATAACATTTATGCTGCTATTTCAATAACATTATTTTTGCTAACTCAGTTACCATGATAGACGGTTTTTAAGATTTTCCAAAACATGTAGTGACATGTTTGCATTTGTACAAAAGTACAGTCATTTTTTTGTAATAGAATGTGTCAAAACATGATTCATAGTCGCATGGATATTTTTGGTGAAATGCATGTGGCATTGCCTCCACATTTCCTCAATGTTAACGAGTAAAAAATTGAGAATAGACTCCTTATAAAGTTGTTGAAAAACATATTCATGATCAAGTAATGTGATAGAGATTTACAATTATGCCTCTAGCAAATAGACAATAGAAGCTTTTAATTCATTCTACAAATCCTATTAGAATTATATCAAACCAAGATGTGCAATCCCATCTTATTGGATACAATACTACAGAAATTGGTTATGATTCAAACGATCCATTTGTTTTCACTTTCATGAGTATTATCGTACCAGGTAATTGGCTAACGGATATTCCAAATCAATTCAGTGCCAATGCCTTCAGGGAAAAGCAGCTCTCAAGTCTTCAAAATGAATCATAATATACCCTCAAGTCATCGACCGCAGCATTATGCACCACGGACAAACAACTCTCCACCAACGAAATAAGTGAAAATACACATCAATTGCAGATATTTTAGTACGATAGTACTTACCATCTGTTCTTTTTATGTTGATATTAATTCCGGATTGAATCTTTATTGTACCGTCATCCATTTTCGCACAAATTTAAGCACCACATACACTAAATAACATTATTTCTCGAAGAACCTTTGTTCAAAAATAGTCTAACACATTGAGAAATTACACATGAGAACCGGTGAAAATTACAAAATAAATTTCTACACCCAGATTGACAGTTATATCGAGCTAGCTACACACTTCAGACTGGAACGTTTGAAATTTGTTTCACTACAAGAGTCAAATCAATCACTTTAAAATCGTAGTTTTTAAAAGAATGCGATTGATTTGAAAATTGTAAATGTAGATATAAAGTAAATAAAAACTGCAAAAACCAGAAATGTTCAAATTATTTCGGTTAAAAGAAACGCGAAATTCTAAAATTATCAGTTTTGTGAGTTTGCCAATGCGACGAAACGAAAATATTTCATTGCCAGCCATAAAAAATATATAAAGAATTTTGTTGTATCAAAAAAATGTTCATAATTAATTTAAGGAAACTGTAAATGTATGTTCCAGTTACTGGATATTATCCTTATTTGGTATTATTTGTTGAATTAATAATTATTAATGAATAATCAATTAAATAGGAATAAATGTTTAACAATTAGTTAGTAATAAAAGCACATCACTAATAAAAATTAAAGAAGACATAGACAACACCGCCCAGCTGCCTGTCAAATTGTCAATCAATCAATTTGTCAATTTCAACGCTGTTCAATAGCTAAAGTTAGGTTCCAAAGCAATTAAATATTTAAATAAATTATACTTTAATATAAATAGAATGGACAGTGAACTCAAGCTGTCCCATAAAGCCAAAAAACGTATTAAGGAAGTTAAAAGGAAGGCTAGACCCGGTAAGTACACTGTATCCGAACCATAATGCCTAATTGACACACTTTCGTTAACAAGCATTTTTGTAGTTAAATATTTGTTTTGTACGGTATTTAACAATTATCAGAGTAAATACATGGAAACTAGATATGCCTTTAGGAATACTACTTATCAAAGGATTCATCAACAAATTCTAGAATGATCTTCGAAAGCGTGGCATTCAGTTATCTTTACAGTATTCGGGCTTGTAGCCTTGATGGTAAATTACATAGCATCACGACCAAGTGCTAAAATCGCAACATTTTTAGAATGACTTCAGTGATTAATATTCCTTTAATAAAGCTTGTAACATAGTTAAACTAATCAATAAAGTTCTCAAAATTTTAGTAGCTTCCAAATAATTGTTATTTTTATAAAATACTGAAATAATGTAAGAGAACAAATTTTCTTTTATTTTCACCCCTTTACCTTACTACCTCAATGGTTGACACCATTTCCTGTTATGTTATAACATTGATGTTATCCTAATGAGTATTTTCTTTTTGTCCAAAAATATTTCATATTGATTTCATTTTACCAGTAGCATGTTGTAAACTGCAAAGAAACATTGTTTTACTGATCTGTTAAAAAAGAGATTGAGCTACTGTGCCACCCTTTGAAAGATTAGTCTTGTACTTGTAATATTAACAGGACTATGTATAAAGTTCATAACTTATTTAAAATTAGCAATCTAGTGACCACTTAGTAGGTACTTACATGTTTATACTTAGTTTTTTTCTTTCTATTACAGAATTAGCAGACAAGTACCAATGGACTGCCTTAAAGTATGCGACAAGCTTTGATGAATTCCTCAAGTGTAATGACAATGTTGACAGAATAAGCGAAAATGAAGTGTCTCCAGATGAATTTATAGAGAAATATGAAAAAATATACAAACCAGTAGTTATAACTAATGTACAGACAAATTGGAAGGCAAATCATAAATGGACTTTAGATAGACTTGCTAAAAAGTATAGGAATCAGAAATTTAAATGCGGGGAAGACAATGAGGGTTACAGTGTTAAGATGAAGATGAAGTATTACGTAGAATACATGAGGACAACGACTGATGACAGTCCCCTTTATATTTTTGATAGCAGTTTTGGAGAGCATGTGAGGAGAAAGAAACTTTTGGAAGATTATGATGTCCCTTTGTATTTTAGGGATGACTTGTTTAAATATTGCGGTGAGGAAAGGAGGCCACCATATCGGTGGTTTGTGATGGGACCGCAGCGTTCTGGTACTGGCATCCATATAGATCCTCTTGGAACAAGTGCCTGGAATGCTTTGGTTTTTGGTCATAAAAGATGGTGCTTATTCCCAACCCAAACGCCTAGAGAATTGATTAAGGTGACTGGAGCAATGGGTGGAAAACAAAGAGATGAAGCTGTCACATGGTTCAAACTTATTTATCCTAAGACTCAGCTAGATACTTGGCCCAAAGAATATAAACCGGTATGTATCCATTTTTATATCTTTTTTTGTGGTCTAGCAAAGGGTGAACTTTTATTAATAACACCACTCATTATTTCAGGTGGAAATTCTTCAGAAACCGGGTGAGACAGTGTTTGTACCTGGAGGCTGGTGGCATGTTGTGCTCAACTTGGACGATACAGTGGCTGTCACTCAAAACTTTTGTAGCCGAACCAACTTCCCAGTGGTCTGGCACAAAACTGTGCGCGGGCGCCCTAAACTGTCCAAAAAGTGGATCAAAGTACTGGAGACCAAAGAACCTGATTTGTACAAGATTGCTAGTGGCATGGACTTGAGTCAGGGCACTGGTGTAGCCTCAGACAGTTCATCTAATAGTAGTTCTTCCAGTAGCGATAGTGATAGCAGCTCTTCAGATAGTTCAGAAGAAGACAGTGGCCAGGAAAGCATCACTGCCCATAAGAAAAAACGAAGAAGAAAAATGTAAAAGGACCAAAACGCCTTATAATTTGCATAGATAATCAACCTTGATACCATTCATAAAGATGTAATATCAAATAGTGTATATCATAAGTGTAAGCCTGTTTTGTATTACTAGATTATAGTGACTAATAAAATTTTTACTTGTTGTTTTCATAGTGAACAGTATATTTCTTTTGTTAAACTGACAACACAATTCTTTATGAATAAAGTATTATCAAACATTTTGAAAGTTTATTTAATTATCAAGTACGTAACTGTAAACATCAAATATGGCATTTAGGTGTGAGGAGCAGGAGCTAGATTCAGTGAGAGCTGTATCTAGCTCATATTTGTTTAACATATAATCTAACTCTTCAACCTTCGAAGCTTAACAGATGGACATTGGACGTCCACTACATAGTAGGAAGTTTTGTATCCCACTATGCCTATACATTGTCGCGGAGAACCTAATGGGTAACCGGGGCTCCGGCTCGACGTGCAGGAGAAGGAACAGGGTGGTTTTTAGTCAGTAAGAATCTGACACTCCCTTCCACCTCACCCAGGCGGAAGCAGTCATTTGATGATTTCCCCCCTTAAAAAAAAATGCATATACATTGTCAGTTTCAAATAACCAAACCTCAACCTGATGAGACAGGTGGGCCGGTTATGTAGATCAAGAATCAATACAATATTCTTGTGAATAATATCTTTACAAAATAGTAATACATAACTTCACGCCTGTCTCCCATGGGGGTAGGCACAGACTAAGGAACGCCAATTACTACGATTCTTACATACCTCTTTCGCTTCATTAACAGTCATCAATCTTTTCATGCATGCTCGTCGGTTAAGGGTACTTTTAATTTGGCCCTTTAATATATCGCCAATCTGGTCACTATATGTGCGTCTAAGGCGCCCTCTACCGACGGCCCCATTCATATCCGCTCTGTATACTTCTTTCGTTACTCTACTTTCATCCATCCTTTCTACATGTCCAAACCAGCGTAACATTCCCTTTTCAATTTCAAATAGTAATTATAAAATTTCATATAGTAATTATTATAATACATTTTTTAATCTCAACGCATTCAGGCCTTTGCTTTTCTTTTGGTCCTACACTCTTCATCTGAGTGTTCCACTTTAGTTTCCTTTCACGCTTCTGACCCAGTATAAACGGACAAAGAGAAAAGAGCGTGGAAATTAAGAAAATCATACAGTTAAAAAGGCCAGTTTTTAAATAGATTATTTAAAATACACAAGGTTTACATTTCCAAAAGAATTAAATATTTTTATTTAGTCACAATTAATTTAATTTCCAATAGACCTTTTGAAACTCTATAAAGTCTATGACATCGACAAACTATTAAAATCAATAATTCTACGCGCATCCCTAGAGACGTCAGACACAGCGATTAGCACTCAAATTTTTTAGTCTATGCTTGAGCAGCCATTTGTTATCCTTGCTGAAGTTCCCGTGTAACGTCTGATCAAAATGTTGAAATCAGCTTCAGGGGCACTGGTCAATGTCCTGAGAAAGTCCTTGGTGCCGGCGGCAAGGATCAGCGCCGTACCCCTGCGGCGGTCGCATGGCGGTGCCGTCGAATCCGACGAGGAATTCGATTGCAGGTTAGACCCTTGTCGGAAATTTTGACGTTATGTAACTGAAAATTGTGGTATTCTCGTCGGTGATTTATTATTTTTAGTTAATTTCAATATTTACGTTATTGTAAAACTTATTTGAAATTCTGGCTAAGTTAATCAGCAATAAGTTTTCTTGGGTGTGACTTGAAATGGATATTTTTTAGACTGATAACCTCATAATCAATAGTTTGTTTTAGTTTTTTTGACCAGTTGTTACATACAAAGTTGTACTAAATTCTTTTACTAATAAGATTCAATGAATTGCTGCAGTATTGATTTTAACTTTATGTAGGCCACAGTACTATTGGTATCTTATAGAGAAACTGTCTCTGGTATTTTAACTTTAGATTAATATTGATTATGATAGCTTATCATAACTGCTATGATATTTTTCTAAGTGTTCTCTTTATTATACATTTTGCAACATTTAGTTGTCTACATGTTGTAAAATGTTGTTGCTTAGCATTATTAATCAACACTGAATGAATAAAATATTTATGAATGGTAATGTTACTAGGAATGTTCCTATTTGTTGTAAGACATTGATATAGGTTCATCCCCCAATTAGGTTCTGATTAATTTACTAAAGCTAGATAAAAATATCTATGGGAACATGTACTGAAGATAAAAAAAACTAACCATATTTTTCTTTTCTTTCCAGATATGAGCAATTCTTTAACAGGAAAGACATTGACGGGTGGGAAATCCGCAAAGGCATGAATGACTTGTGCGGTATGGACCTTGTCCCTGACCCAAAGATCATTAGGGCAGCATTGCACGCATGCAGGAGAGTGAATGACTATGCTCTTGCTGTTAGGTTCATTGAGGCCTGCAAAGATAAGTGTGGTAACAAAGTCAATGAAATCTACCCTTACATCATCCAGGAAATTAAGCCCACATTAACAGAGCTTGGCATTGAAACTCCAGAGGAGCTCGGCTACGACAAACCAGAACTAGCTTTAGAGAATGTTTATGACATGTAAGGTCGCCGTTAAATATCAAAATAAGCTGTAGAGAATTTGTATAATAGTTTTGTTGTCGACTTTTTATTTACTTTTAATTGTGGGAAGCTGTGTCTTCAATTAGTAGTATTCTTGGTCCATCGTTCAAAAATCGACCTGCTTGTCTAATGTTGAAACATTAGAACAAATATGATATAACATTATGAGAGTTGTTTCATTTTGTATGTTATCTACCACCCCTTTTATACAATTCCTTGTCCATACATGTCGTATTTATCAATAAAAAATTATAACATAACAAACTCATTATTTTTGTAGTGACTCAATAATTTATAAACACAAATGACAATTAAAGAAATTAAATATATCATGTAGATCCATTATGTAACTACCTACAAAGAATGAATACTGTTTTAAAAACACTAGAAAATGTTGTCATGGATTCTATGTTAAATTCTTACTAGCAGTAACAATTGATACACAATTCAAAACAATCTGTAATTCACTGAGCCTAATGTATCGATTGTTCAAGTGTGTATCGCCGTGTTATCGATCAGGCGCCTTTGAGCAATCTGTAATGAAACTTGCAGTTCGGGTAAGTACAAACTCAAGCGTTTGTTTCTTACGCGGCGGATTCTGCTTGCGCGATGCGCAGTGTCTCAGGACTCAGCCTAATGATGCATTAAATACTTGGTGGTACAAACTGAATATTATTTAAATTGTCTATGAATGTTAGTACACCAATGGTCTTGTCTAAAATAAATATAGTTATTAGTTCCCTTATAGCAGAGTATAATATAGCTTTAGGAACAAGAAGGTATCTATAATTAGTACCTACTAATATTCGTAAAAGGTCGAAAACGCACTTTTAATTCTTGTACTGATGAGAGTTTCCATGGGCGGCGTCTATTGCTTTCCTTCAGGTGATTAGTCTGCTCGTTTGCCGACTTATGCCATAAAAAAGCTGCTTTGCGTCATATGACGTGAAAAATATATTACATAGGAGTGAAATTAGTCTATTTTTTCCTCATGGCGGAATGGCAGCAGCGACTGTCGCAACCGAGGGCTGGGCTCGCTGCAATTGTAAGCGGCGGTACAGCGGTAAGTCCCCTCTTTGAGGAGTGGCTTGAGAGACGCTACGGCGTCCTCACCTACCGCCTGACGCAGATCCTCACCGGACATGGAAGTTTCGGGAGGTACCTGTGTCTGATGGGGCGGGAGGAAACTTCCGGGTGTCATCACTGCGAGGACCGCCCTGAGGACACGGTGGAACACGCTGTAGCGGAATGCCCTGCGTGGGCTGAGCACCGCCGTGCCCTCAGGGAAGTGATCGGCGATGGCGACCTCTCGCGTCCGGGCCTAGTGCAGGTCATGATGCGGAGCGAGGGGGACTGGGATGCCGTCTCCTCCTTTTGCGAAGCAGATATGCTAGCTAAGAAGGGACGCGAGAGACAGCGAAGCACTGCCTCCTCGTAACCCAGCCATCGCGAAGGACACACCGGGCGTCGGGATCGCGGGACGATCTCCGGCAACCGTAAGCGCGGGCCTGCGTACGGCGAGCATGGGTGGCTCCCCGTCCGACCAGAAACAGACCCGAGCGTACGGCGCGTCGCGTTTCGCGCGCGCCTCAAAGAGCCATCAGACCACCAGTATTTTTTCCCATAACCACGCCAACAGTATGTTCACATCCTCGGCCTACCGCTTCAGGGCAAGACGCAGAATAATGTTAAATCTACATATCGGATATATTTTTTGGTAATTTTAATTTATAAGGTAAAAATAACAGGAAAAGTTTAAAACATGAAAACAAGGAAATGTACGTAAATACTTTAATGATTGCCATATTCACACAGTCATACCATTATTTACAATCACAAATTGTACTTAACAACAAAATTGTGCTATCTTAGAGGACAAAACTTAATCGTTCTTTGGTAAATAAAACAAAAATAAAATATGGAAAATAAATAAAACAAATCTGAATAAATCTGAAGTAAATAGGTAAGTACTATTCGTTCGTGGCTTTTACAAAACAACTATATTATTCCGCACATCATAATAGTTTTGCACTTTTGTACTTTTCTATGAACTCTACCTTACGTTATAGTCTCGACTATAAACCTTATATAAATTTAATGTGAATTACATTGAGAATCCTATGAGCAGGCTGATTGAAAGGAAACCTGATGTACAACGTTGGACAATATTACCTATTAATCTACCTTTATTTTCGTACTGACTTCACAAAATTGGAAGTCTTTACATTCCTAAGATTTAAACACCGATAAACACTAACGTCGTCATCTATGTAGTAACCCTGCGCAGGAATTATAATATTGTTTCTTTAAACGAATTTACATTATAGAGGACAAGTTAAATTACATTAATTTACAAAACTTATGTTATAGAAAAGTTTTGGTAAAGTTCTTAAATATATTCACTCGGACTAGAATAGGTTGCTTTGACTTGGTTTAGACTAGATTAAATAAATAGATAGGTGTATAACAAACAAAAGGCAAACTAAACATAAACAACAAATGTACACAACAAACTCACTTGTAATATTACAGGAATGTATACGATTATATGAACCTCCTGGCACTAGTGCACCTACTGCACCTGCTTTACTATCGCAACGGGAGTTCTATACAAAATAAACGCGACTGGTATAAATTATGTATTGCACAAATCTGTTCCCCACCACACGTAGATTTGCATCTCTAAAAATAAATTAGTCTTACTTTTCACATCAATAAATAATATAAGTTACGATGAAATAATTTAAATAAATTAAATCCCATTTCATGGCAAAATTTAAGTCTAATATAATGGTAAATTTATTACTAAAATTCAAAATCACTCCGACATCACTGGATTCGATTGCTATGCCGTAACTTGATGTCTCGGCCGGGCCGCCGCGCACATGTCTAACATTCCGTTTGAGTAGTACGAGCTGAATACTTGCGCGGCGGTAGCGCCGAATGCCGATGGCCACTATAGTTAAATTAACTATTTTTATTAATTCACTTGTTTACTTTGACTGCAACACTAGATGATGCCTCTATGTTTAGAATAACAATTAGAGTAGCTAGGCCTCGCCTTCCGAGCCGCTGTGTATAAGTGTCCGTTGTCTGTATAGGTGTGTGTATGGAAGTTTAGAGTGCGTACATGTCGCGGGGGTTAAGTCACGTCGTTCATCAGTTCGGGGCAGTCAGAGGCTCCGTCAGGCGGCGGCGAGCTCGCCACCAGAGTTAGCAGCTAGGAATCTGTTACTACGGCGTCACGTTCCGCTTTTACTTGCTGTAACAAACGAATTATAGGCATATAGCATAGGGTTATTCAAATCCTCCGATGTAGTTATAGCTTATCAGTTATCAGAATGATAACGTGGGCGATATAATTGTAGGGCAATGTGCTCTAGTATTCCAGTACTACACGACAGAGCGGTGTAGCTGACAAATTAATTAAGATTATTTAATAGATAAGCTAAAGGCGTACAAATACCAATGTTATATCGATTTCGCCATTATATAGATATAGAATATTGTAATAGTCAAAACTAAACGACTAATGTAATACTTCGAATTTATTCCGAAGGATTGTTATTTCTTAACTTACCATGGCTTTGGTGAGTACAGTAGCGTCCTTGAGACTGAGCACCTGTAAGACCTGCGCGCCCTCTCCGCCCTGCAGCATCACCTGCGTGACGCCGCCGCCCATAGAGATCGTCTCCAAACCCTCACCGTTCTGATCCATCTAACGTTAGTTATACATTAGTTCTTAAAATTAACATTACAAAGTATATATTAACAATATAAAACTGTCAGTATAATACGTTAATCAAACTTTTTTTAATTAAATAAGACTTTTTTAATTCACTTTACTAGATTTTCCACTTTATTGTTTTCAGAACAGGTAGAGCTGTGGGTAAAGCTAAAATTGCAATGAGAAATACTGGAGTAGATTGACGTGCTGGCGTCTGTAGTGAAATCTACCGTCTACTGACAGATAGGTTGATCTAGCCGCAATATAGCTAAATAATCATAAAACCGCACATTGAGAGCCCAACACCACACCATGGATGTTTGCCTTCCAACATGAAGTGAACAGTCAAGCGCACGTCAATGACAAAACCACGCAAAAATTACTATAATCACAAACACAATAAAGTTCAATTTAGCAAATCACAAGACGTGAGCTCAACAAAGCGTAATAAATAAAAATAAAAGAAAAAATACACACCTGTCATGCTACACACAGTGAATAAAGCTTCGATTCGTGCAAATAAAACAAGACGATACATTCACGTATTTATTGCGGCAGCACTCGCACACGTCAACTAAGGATAAAATCATTCACTCTAATGCAACACTGAGACACGATAATACTGAAAATATGGCAGCATAAATATACAAACAATATATTGCTAATAAATAACAGGGATGAAAATCTTGTGACAAAACGAATACTAAATAGAATGAAAGGACTTGAGAAATGATGATTATGAAAGAAAATGGTGTTTGTGAGATAAAATGGCGCTTGATACTGTAGAATGGAAGAACATATAATGTTCACTGATTGTCAAAATTACACAGGCCAGCCGAAGATCAGATGAGCCACCTGATGGTAAACAATCGGCGCCATCTGTGGAAACCCGTAGCACGAGTGGAGTTAAAAGTGCGTTGCCGGCCTTTTAAGAATTGGGGATGTGCTAATAAATAATGCATGTGTCGGTGTTGCACTAGACTACAATAACAATACTACACAAAACATAACAAGCTTCAACTAAAAATAAAACATTTTAAACAAAATGTACATGAACAAAGCATAGGACATTGTACTATTTGTAACATTGTAATATACAGACTTTAATAAATTACCCTGAAATGTATTATGCAACTTTAAAGTGTAATACTTTAACTTTGAAAACAAGGTCTGAGTAATACTCATATATTCTTACATAAATAACTCTGTATTGTAATGTAATCGCGTATCTTTGGCACATACCATAATGGCAAATTGTATAATAAAATAATTATACTTTTAATAACTTTTCACAATTTGTTTCGAACATTATTATTGAATCGTGAATTTCAAATTTTTACTATTACAAAATTTCACTAGCATAGCACACAATTACTCCAACATATACATAAAATATAAAAAAAAAATAAGAATATTTTGACAAGATCAGCATAACAACTGGGTTGGAGGCAACAAAATATAATGTGGAATAAAACAAGCACAAAGTGCAGAGTAAATAAATTAATACTAGGCCATCTTGATAGTCGGTAAATGGCTGACCACGAATGAAATAAAATGAAGCTTTATACTTTGGTAACAATAAAATTTGGAATTTATGAAAAGTGCATTTACCGACCAATTTATAAGGCAAATAAATAAATAATTATACTATACTCGATTTTATTCGAGAAGGATACTTAGAATTTTTATATTTGAAGTTACTATAGTTGCACTAAAATCGTATTTAAATATAGATTATTATAATCTAAGCGATAAAACAGTAAATATTTTTAACAATATTACTAGAACTCTAGTAACTTTAAATATTAAATCGCAGTACCCTTTAAAATGAAAACGAGTAAACAAACAATCATGCATGTTTGGCAACTAGCTCACTAAATTACACTTTGGTAACAAAAGACATTATTACACCTACCAATTAAAAAAAAATTCACTGTTCATAATAAACTACATATAAAGCAAGGTTTACACTATAATACTAGAAACGTAAGTATCGATACGGACAAGCGAATTTAACTAAACATCCATCATAATTACAAATAAAATTATCTATTCATAAATTGTCAACAGTCATATTCAATTAAAATCTATCATTTGTCCTAATAATTGTGAATAAATCTTCCACTTTTAGTGTAAAGGAACTATTTATTGTGTATTTAATTTCGCATTTTTATTCTGTCAAGACAACTTTAGGCAGGATTATGTTTTGTCATAATTATTATGAAAAGTAAGATTATTATGCAGTTTATTAAATATCTATTTTATTACTTAATGCCTATGACATCAAATAAAAGTTTAAGATATAACTTACTTATTCACAATATCGCATTGAAAGCTTAAATTGAATTGACTTTGCTAGGGGAGCGTCTAATTAAAAAATAATGACTAAAATACAAATATTAAATGCTTATTTAAGCACTTCCGAGATCGACAAACATATTGTTTATCCTCTATATACAAAAATATCACAAGTCTCTAGGACATTTTATTTATCAACATTCTAATGGCACGCATTCTCGAACTAAGTTCCTAGTCCTACATGCATAATATTAAAATTGTAAATAATTTATTACTATATTTTATACTTATACTATTGTTTCTTTGGGTAAATATATTATTTTGGCAGCATTTCGTTATATTGCACTATTGGACGAATATTATGACGTTTTATTTCAATAAATTAATAACTTAGGTATTCTATACTTTAACATCAGTACCTTAGAAGTAAATAACGCCAATTTGTGGCGTGTTTTATAAATATTTTAAGGTCATATCAGTACTGTTATTTTAGCTGGCTTGCCATTGTGGTAACAAAACTTATTTTTCCACAAACTAGCACCAACAAATATAGTTTGCAGACAAACGCGCTTTTATCTATTCGCAGCTAAAGCTAAAGAAATGCATACATAAACTTGAATACTCAAACTATTGTCTGTACTTGGAGGTGAAGTAAATAATGTCATAGCTTGAGATAAATTAAAGTAGCAAACAAATCTAGGCGGTTTGGCAAACAAAAATTTATTACTCACATATTCACTAACTTGACTTTGACTAATGTCATGTGTAAACAACTCCGTTTTCCTCAAAAAGGTGAACAAAGATGCGGATATCATGAAACATTTCATGTACTTATTATAAGGCGACGTAACTACCATACTGAGCACTTCAGACTTCACAATATTATCTTGATTACTCTAGCAAAGAGGCAGTCATTCGAATACATAGTCAAGTGAATGAACACAATGAGTAGTGAAGGCGGGGTATATGCAACCCGTGTACGCTATGCGACATGCAGCGTGTCGTCGACGTCGCGCGGTTCAGGCTTGGGCCGCACCTGTACGAGCGGCGCCACGCAGACGCCGCCATCTTGTTGCTGCATGGACGCCACCATCGACTGGTACACTGACGCAGACACTGGCACTGTGATCACTCCCGACACTGAGATTGGGTACCCTGCAACGTTACGACGACTAATATCTTCAAATAATAAAAGCAAGCATATACTTGCTTTGTGTGAGTACTTAAGATATTCATTCAAGCTACGTCAAATATAACTTTAACAAAAGGAGAACGTCATTTGTTTGAATACTGTATAGAATTGCAATGCAAGCTAGATAAATAACTAGCAATAGCGTCAAAAGCTTAGCATCAATCATTTTACATTTCGACATCAATAATCAGAGAACATTCTCTCGTTTTTTAAATTTATTAATTTGACTAGTAGTCGGATGAGGCATACAGTATAAGTTGTGTAGGGTGATACGTACCATGTCCGTCCTCCCCGGTGAGTATGATCTGTCCGTCGTGGTTGAGCGTGGCCTCAGCTACTGCGTTGAGGTCCACGGCCACGGCGCCATCTCCGTCTAGTGCCTGGATACCCGCTCCACCCTCGCCGCTGTGAATCTATTAATAAACGTATTTTAGCTCGAGAATCTACAAGATTGGTAGTTAGTGATGGGTTAACTAGAGCCAACTTTAGCCATTTCATTGTCCTTTGTAATAAATTTTATAGTGAAATTTTTATCTTGAAATGAGTGGCCCAATTTCAGCATTTCAACATTTGCTTGCCACAAATCTTGGTTTTTCTGTGATAGGCGGGGATTCACGTGATGATAAGTAAACGGCGCCGCTAATGGATACCAATAACACTAAATGAGTTGGATGTGCGTTGCCAGCATCGAACTTTTTCTTTTCAATCGGCTGAGCCAGAGTCGGTCTATATAGTCATAACTTTAACGAAATAAAGTTTGTGTACATTACTATCGTAAAACTTACAACTTGCGCAGTAGTGCCGTCAGGTAATGTGATGATGGAATTGCTGGGGTCGACTTGGATGAGAGACACAGTTCCGTCCGGATTCGTGATTGTTTGTAGAACAGCAGGCGCGTATTGTGACATCTGAGATTTACAAACAAAATCAAATAAATTAAAAAAAACTGGTGTAGGTTCCCGATCGTCAGTTGGTTGTTGTTATATGGGGAAGAAAACACAATCACTGATGTTTGCATGCAAGTTCTGATGAGAGATACACACAAAACATTGAAAACACACAAATTACTACTGCAAACATTGTTTTTTGTCATGTCGCTACATATAGCTTTATATTTAAATTCAAAACCATGCATTAATGAAAATTTAAATCAGTGAAATACTAAATTAATAAGTATCGACGTCTTGTAGCCAATAACATCTTCACAAATCATTTTCCAGACAAAAAAAGGCAACTTTATTAGCTTAGTCCGTACATCAACATCAGCGAGGGTCATTTGATCGATGCAGACTTGTTGTGACGTCAGCACTGCTTGTTGCTGCTGGCTGTTCCGTGCTGCAGATGTAGAACTAGACGACGAGTTACTGGCCGCGGTCGGCATACAAGCCGATATCTATACCATCGACCATGGACCAAGGAGGTAGTGTCCCAAAGGTTTTGTGTGACAAAGTTGTTAATATTTATAAAAAATTAAAGAGGTTACCAAATCCAGGCAGCATTCCGTGTGAGTAAGCGTTAATGAACAGTAAACGTAATTTAGACATGTTAGAAAGATCAATAAAATACAAGTTGTGTTATTTCGAGTCGTCAGTCCTTCGATAAATAATGTTTTCCTAACAATAGCACCAAAAGACTATTTAACCTTTAATCTATTTTCGGCTTCTCTATAATTATCTGGTCTAAATCGGAGTAAATATCGGATGACGTAACGTAACAGCCTACTTCTAGTGTGGGCGTAACTTATTGTTAGCCGACTTGAATGTGACGTAGGTACAAAACTTATTTAGGGAAAATAATAGTTGTTGGTGTTAGTTAGCTGTTTCTAATTAACCTTGTGGAGTAAATATACATTTAGAAACTGAACCAGTTTTGTGTGGGTATTAAATACAAATCTCTAACTAATTCATTGAAGTAAAATACTAAGCCTAAATATTTTATACTAAGTATGTCATATAACATCATTTCTTTTCGATAAACACACAACTGTACTTATTCCTTAGAGTTTTAGTAGGTGGCCACCTGGCAGTCCCGCTTACGGCCACTCGACCAAACAAGAGTCTTTTTTCCATATGTTACGTAACATTTAAGATGATTTAGAACCTAAGTAGATTAGCTTAATTACTGTGCTAAGCTAATACATAGCCTTGACGAAAATAAGTACGGCAGACCTAACGTAGTTGTTCCTTGATGTAGAATAATCTAATGACGCAAACGATAATGTTTAATTATGCTAAGATTATTCTTTATTGTACTGTTTGTGTTTATTGGAAGATACCAATAAATCTTTTCAAATCGCATTTACACGTAATCAACTAAATCTAGTGATGCTATAACATCATGGCTTATCTTTCAAGTAATAGACAAAGATCCAAGACCCACTTTTTATAATTTTGTCCCAGAAGGGAAATAAGTCTATAGCCATGTATGGGTTACTATTCCTGACTGGGAAGCCGGGACTGATATTTCTTGTTCGGCAATCGTATTTGCGACCAGCCAACCAGTCTTATGGTTCCAGAGAAAATAGATAAGATTGGCTGATAGAGAATGCTATATGGCAATTAACTGACTTATATTTCATATTAAACTGTCAAACACCAAGCGGTCACCGGTGACCGCAACCTATTGTTCTATAATTGTGTCTACAAAACCGGTACTCGACGAGTTAAGAGCTTAAAATTTAAAATAAGTAATGGAGGATTTAACACGTATTTTACAATCAAGGTACGTAAATAGACGTAAGTAGGAGTTACTAACGGGTTGCGTAGGAGGTCCCTTCTCGTCGTCCTCTGTAAAGGCGGGCAACAAGTCCTCTCGCCCGTGGTACTTGTAGCAGTTGATCACGATCTGACGAAGCGCGTGAGTCCACGACATCTGAAAGAAGTATATAGGTAATTAGTAGATTCATCATCATGTTAGCTACAAGATGTCTATTGCTGAACATAGGTCTTCCCCATAAGCATTAGAGTATGAAATAGAAAGGACATCTAGTAGAAGATATAGAGAATTTATTAGATCACTTATAGAAGCCAATTGTGTTTAAGAATAGGTTAATGAACACATTTACTGACATATCCATTTCAAGCATTCATCCAAAAAAAAAAAAAAAAAATATCCATTGAATAAATTATCACAAATGCGACTACCAGGAAAAAAATAAGCTAATTTATTGATCTCAAAATTCCCATTGCATCACTCAATAGCTGAATCAACCTAAATGTATGACGCATCTCTATCGATAAGTATTACTATATCCAAAGATTCAAGCATTCATCTATCGATAAGTACCTAATGTAGTTTAAATTACAATTTTAAATTACCTTTTGTTTCTCGTCCTCAGTACGAGCGTCCATTCTGACGTTGGCCCAAGGAAGGTCCTTGGGCCACCACGGAGGTCGCGTGGACTCGCGGCCCCAACCCGGTTTCCCTCGCACTGAAGAATATATAGGTATTGAATACTTGAAGAATAGTTATTGCTGGTAAATTATAGCTGAATTCACTTCAGTCAAAGACAGTGAAAAGTGCCATAAGCCACTAATAAGTTTAGGTATCATTAATAGCATTGAAGTCATAGTGTGTACGTGTAGTTGTGGCTGTTTCAACTAAAACCTTTATTGCATGACATTAAAAGAGTGTTACGAATCTCTGCAAAAGGTAGAATATACAAAACTTAAACGTTACTCAATTTTGTCAAAATGACAGAGACGGCACGATATTTAAGTACACCTTAGAATTGAGTCTTTCAGTATTCGCGCTTTAGTATATTTTGCACTTACCCATGGAGTACTTGAGCATGAGCGGTATGAATGCGCGGAGCTGTGCCTGCGTCATCTTCTCGACGGGCGTGGGGATGCCGTCGATGATGAGCGGCGGCAGCTCGAACAGCGAGGGATCCTCCTGCGGCGGCGCCGGCGCCTGCGGCCCGTCGCCCAGCCCGAACTGACGCTCGTTATATAGCTCATACTCATACGTACACATACACATCTAACTACTACACACACGCTCACTTCGGGAGAACAATTTTCTTTGATAGATATTCTTGAATACTACGATGGAGTGTCTAGTTGTACAAGAGACATTTATGTCATTCTGTACAACAATTTAAATTTTTTTAATAATTTAATTTCATTCGAAGTCAGCGTGTATGTTCGAAAGGGCTCATTTAGACTATCACAGATAATTTTAGTCATAGTAAAGTAACGATTTTACTTTTTGTAAATAATCTCTGACCGATATTCTAAATGAGTGACGATATCAAAGAAAAGAAAGTTAGTAAGTTAAAAATTAAAATAGCTTCAATGAATTTTTAAAAGAAAAAAAATATATATTTGTAAGAAATGCTACTAATCTAAATAAGTGTCACATAAAATAATATTGTATTTCTAGTATACAGTACAGTGTAAGGCATGACAAACTCACTGAAGCCAAAAAAGATCATGTTATTAGAGCTAACTTTGACGTAAGTAGACACAAACAATAAGAAGTCAGTAAACGAATAAAAATAAAATTATAACATTAGGATTTCCCCTTTCTTATTTATAATGCAAAATCATATAAAACAATGAAATTATTATGTAAAAAATATTTCCATATAAATGAACATTTTAAATATTTTTTTCAAAGCTGTAACTACGAAGATAAGTGTGCTACAAAATTTTGGAGTGATGTAATAAATACCTAACATGCTATGTTAGACGATCGTCTGTATTCAGTCTTAGTCTTAAGATCAGTCTTAAACTGTAAATTAATTTAAAGATTTCACAATTGCAAACTATGAAAATCGTGAATAACCAATGATGTTTAGACCAGGGTAACGTCACAGAAGCTTATAAATTGAAGGAGTCTGTAGAAACCGACTTACCTGTTGTGCGAGTGCGTTCTCCAGTTCCTCCATGATCATGCAGCGCAGATTGCGTACAACGTCCTCTAGAGGCTTCGCCCCAAACACACGGTATGAGGTATTTGGCTTGCCAGGGGTCGCCACTAGTACCACGGCTTGTTGGCCCACGCGAGTCGCGAACTCTTCTATTGTTTGCTGTGTAACATCGTAAAGTGTAACTACCGTATAACTTTAAAATAAAAATAGCAGTGTTTTGTCGTGTGTCCTGTTATAGTTAAGGGTCCCGGTGTCGTTCGAAACTGGTCGAGCATCATCGAAATAGGAAATGCGCATAAATCTTTTAAATACATATGGGTGCTAATTAAGGCAGCTTCTTTAAAATGTCATTCTCGTCTGCAAATATATTTAGTTGTCTAATGAATTAATAGGTCAGCGACAAACTTTTAGCGTCTAATAAATGGTTTATAAGCGACCATATATTGTAAAACAAGCTACTGTTAATATGACGCAACATTTAAACTAATATTTTTAATATAAACGGCTAAATGGTATGAAAAGATTTAAAAAGCAGTTAGTGATATAACGCTCGGCGGCCGCTACCGCGGCACCGCTCGCTACGCTCGCTCGCCTCGCGCCTTGTGAGGGTCGCAGTTCTAACCTAACCTAACCAAATGTTTCGGGGTGCCCAAAATTGCTGTGCAGTCAGTCAACATTAGTCGCTGAGTTATCAAATCAGAAGTAAATATATTTATCGGTAGCTCGGAGTCATATTAATTTACGCTCGTAAATTGACGCTGGTTTCTTGATATTTTGTTGGAATAGTAAAGATGATGAATTAATATAATTGAAGCTGTTCTATTAACTCGTCGCTCACATATAAAAAAAGACGCTAGGTTGCAGGTGCTAAAGAAAACTTTTGTTGCCGCACATATAATTTCCCAATACATATTACCTTTTTAGATGCAAATTACTAAAATTTGGCATTAATTCACATAACCATAGAAGTAGTCATTAAACATTATTCAAGATTTTGTGGGTGACTTACTCTGAGTTTCCTAAGTAATCTATTCTGATGTCGCTTCCTGACGGACGGGTTGGTCTCGAAGGAGTGCGGCCGCTTGCGTTTCTTAGAGGACGCTATAGCGGCTGCGGCAGCCATGCCCACCGGACCTGTTGTTGCAGACATTTGTAAATCTTGGAATGTGGGTTACAAGCAATTTGTAGCTGCAGAATATTGAGATGATTCCATCTAACCAAATTCAATATCATCTAACATTTTAAATACATCATGATCGTTTCTTATTTATGTTATATGAGTTTCAATACTCATATCAATAGCCTGCTCATTGGCAGAGTGGTCGCAAGGGTGACTGCCGGGTCTCGGGTTCGATGACCCTGGTTGGGCAAAGTATTACTGGATTTTTCAATAAATTCTCAGTAGTAGCACGGAGTCTGGAATTGTGCCCGGTATATTGCAATAGGCTCACTCCCTATTACATGGGACTCGTAACATAAATAGTGAAAAGTGGGTGTTACATTGTACATAAAGTGGCATAATGTACACCTCTGCCTACCCCTTTGGGGATAAAAGGCGTGATGTTATGTTATGTGAGTTTCACTTCATATATGTTTTTGGGTCTTAAGAATTACCTTCAAAAATTGGGCAACTATGGTATATCCAACCTGATTATTGAGTGTGTCATTATTTATTATAGGTTCAATATTTTGAAAAGTTGGAATCATTCAATGTTGACTGAGAAAACGTCGCAAACTAAATGCTAGCTATTGAGTGATTTCCCCATAATATTTGCGTAGTAACTAGATATTACTTCACATTCGATATGTGTCATTTGATTGTGTATTTTTGCCTTCCCCAAGTTCCACAACCTACTAAGGGTTGAATCACTGTCTATCTACATTATATTTTAATCTACAAACTTCCGTCAAAGCTACATATCATACCTATGTGTTTGTATGTATGTCAGCTAGATCTAAGACTTACCTTCTCTTTTAGTAGATACAGACACAGATAAACTTATTAGCATTTACAGAAGTTGAGCTTCTACTTTTCAATAGGAAGTTTTTTCAGACCCGAAATCTTGGGATATTTTTATTGAAGTTTGATTAAGTCCTGACTCGATTACACAAAAAAAACTACACAACTACAGCCTAATGGAAAGAAAGAAAAGAAGATTTAACTATAGCTCACCAGCTGCAGCAAGTTGCTTGGTAACTTCATCGCTCATGGCATTCTTGATGAGATCAGCGCTGTCATCGTACGCGGAGCCGGTGGGGGAGGACGCGCACTCGTCGTCGTCGTCCGAAGCCCCACTCAACCCGCAACCGTCAACTTGTGACATGTCCTGCGAAATATACACATCCTAATAGTTACTAATGTGATACTGGTAGTATAGTCCTCAATTTCGGAACTTAGATGACATAAAACAATTCTGATATGATGGACAGAATCGTATTTCGCTCGACGTTGGAATCTAACTAAGAAGCATCGTGATAGTAGTTATAACAATAAGCCTACTGTTCATTGGTCGATGTTTCAGGTTTATTGCGGGTCATTGATAGATAGCTTTCAATAATATTCTCAGAAAGGAGCGACAAATAAAACGAAATACGGCATTCTGGGAAACCTGTGTGTGGTACATTTATGTTCAGCGAATTTCAAATATTATACAACAAGGAGGTAAACAAGTTGCGACATACTTTTGTTGTAGTTTGAATGAACTTCTCTTTAAGTTCACAAACTTAATGAAAGTTTACATTATGAAATTACGCAGTTTTTAACAAGGTCAACTCTTTTGTAAAAATATGGGTCAACCTTGTTCAAGAACATTGGATAAAACATAACCACATGGTTAAAACCAAATAAAAAATTTGGTCATTTTGTCCTCATATAGTTCTACTAGATGATGGGGAGTGTACAAAAGTTAGCTTCCTTTGCAATTTCAAAATTTGGACACTCGGATTAAATGAAATCTGAAAGCATGTTTCATTTTTATGTTTTAAAAAGCAATGGTAGTCTCACCTCCCCCTCCATATCCATGGATTCTGTGCTGACGGCGGAGTTCATGGTGTAGTCTGTGTCCCGTTCGTCCCGCCGACTAAACTCTAGGACCATTGGGTAGTGCACCTCAAGTCGCCACCCACTACGGCCACTCTTGATCTCTTCTCTTCAACCAGTGAGCTTTATGATCTGGGAATTAGTGATTATTCTAGATAATAATGTTTTTATTATGTTTTTCAAACAATTAGTTTACTATTACTAGCAATACAATGGAATATTTAGTCAGATTATGTAATTTACATAAATATATGTCGAAATAATGAACATATTAAATCAAAATATTCTTAATTACATACATAAGAACATTAAAAATCCTTTGACCTGAACCCTGTGAGTATAAACAATACAATTTTTGAAGAACAAATCCTTGCCCTCACATCTGTTTATAAGAAATAAAGGAAATTGTTTAAAATAATGTAAGCCATTGATAACTGTAATTAATGAAATAATAAGGTATATATATATAAGACAAAATCATTACATTATCACAAACAAAATCAAAGTTTTGTAGTGAATTGTAGAACCTATCTGTCTTGGAGAACTTTGTATACTGTGTAATAATTATACCAGTAATGGCTGTTACATTACATGATTATGTCAAAACAGGTATTATTCATAAAATGACTGTCAATTATTAGATATTTTTTTTTTTTTTTTTTTTAAGGGGGGAAAATCATCGAATGACTGCCCCCGCCTGGGTGAGGCGGGAGGGAGTGTCAGACTCTTACTGACTAAAAACCACCCCGTTCCTTCTCCTGCACGTCGAGCCGGAGCCCCGGTTACCCGTTAGGTTCTCCGCGACTCCGAATCGGCATCGGCCCTATTGGGCCCCATCTGTGGTGGTCTGATGGCTCTTTGAGGCGCGCGCGGAACGCGACGCGCCGTACGCTCGGGTCTGTTTCTGGTCGGACGGGGAGCCACCCATGCTCGCCGTCCGCAGGCCCGCGCTTACGGTGGCCGGAGATCGTCCCGCGATCCCCGACGCCCGGTGTGTCCTTCGCGATGGCTGGGTTGCGAGGAGGCAGCGCTTCGCTGCCTCACGCGTCCCGCCTCCTCCTTAGCTAGCATGACTGCTTCGCAAAAGGAGGAGACGGCATCCCAATCCCCCTCGCTCCGCATCATGGCCTGCACTAGGCCCGGACGCGAGAGGTCGCCATCGCCGATCACTTCCCTGAGGACACGGCGGTGCTCAGCCCACGAAGGGCATTCTCCCACCGTGTGTTCCACCGTGTCCTCAGGGCGGTCCTCGCAGTGATGACACCCGGGCGTTTCCTCCCGCCCCATCAGACACAGGTACCTCCCGAAACTTCCATGTCCGGTGAGGACCTGCGTCAGGCGGTAGGTGAGGACGCCGTAGCGTCTCTCAAGCCACTCCTCAAAGAGGGGACTTACCGAATTATTAGATATTTAGAACTATGAAATATCCCCTCCTATTACAAACAGCTGGTGAAAAAAGGATATTACATTATTCACCTCTGCCTTCCTCACAAAAGCAGTGATGCTATATTATGTATGTGTTTATTAGATTTATACATGTCTGAAGAGTCTCTGTTGAGTAAGGAGAAACCTTGGCCTTGTTACTGTCCCTAACAAGATCAATACTCCACTTGTTTTATTTTAGAAGTTAAATACTGCTAGTTTTATTATAAAATTACTTACTTGGTGTACAATAAAGCTTATATCTATCGACTACCCTATTACAGCACCTACCCATGTCTTAATAAAGACTTTCCTAAATATACAGAGAAGGGGAATCACACAGGACTTATTTGTGACCTAAATAAAATGTGTTAGCAATAAATTATGTGCATTCTTAATAATGTATTTAAATGTTATTAAAATTGTATTCAGGATAAAATATGCTGATTCTGTTGTCACTTTGTGTCTAAAATGTCTCTAATGCCAACTTAGTAATTTTCATAGACTGAATATTTCATTATTTCTGCAAGTATTTTTAAGAAAAATTAGCATATTTCATTTGGAAAAGTAGTGTGCATATAAATAATTTAAATGTACATTCACAAATTATAACTAGCTAGAGCTTGGTCAGAAAAATCAATAAGAGTTCAATGGCTCCCCTTATGAAAACATCTCATTAAGTATTTTGATAATTCCTTTGAATAATTATACAGGAAATTTGTCCTATATTTCATAATCATGACCTTAGTACTAGTGCTAACTTTGTCTAAGTCTAGACAAGATATAGCTCTATGCATAGATGCCCAAGCTATTGATTTTGGACACTTCTATAAAATCTCTTTGAAAAGAAATTCTTATTACACTCTTATTGGAACTATTTGCAACAAAACTTCAATGAAAAACGATTATCCCAAACTTGAAACTATAAGGAACCAAAGCCTTTACAATCTTTCTCAGAGTACTTAGATAGATCAGCATAGTACAAATCTATTATTCCATTGTGTAGACACCTAGCTAAGAAAAATCAATACTTGAGCTTCCCACATAATCCGACTGTCCAACTAGACAAAATTTCTATTACAAGTCCCAATTGTAAGGATTAATGTCAACAAATGCATCAATTTATGATTTCAGGAATCCATCTTTACTTTCAGGTGCATATTATTTAACTGCAACTTACAATTTTATGCCTTTTACGCGCGAATAAATGCAGTCGCATACACCAATGACGCATTTTGTTTGATGTTTTGTTTATACGGTGCATGATGCCCCGCGACGGGTCAGTTTCGAAGACGCATGACATGACGCAAGCTCTTTGCGGCGGCGTAAAGGATAAGCCAAAATGAATGGCCATCATGAAGGGGAGCCGCGCGTTCGAGCAGGCTCAGACAGAATGGAGAGACTACGGCTGCGTACGCACCTGCGTGATTTGAAGCACATTTTGCAATCCAATTAGACGTCTTGCAAACTTGCTGTGATGTAACCCGTTCAAAACAACACTTTTTAAAACATTTGCACTCGTCCAGACACTGAATTCACAAAATTTACGGAGTGCACAAGAGTCCCCGAAAAATTCGAGTCCTCCATTAGTATCGATCGGTAAGCGCGGTATGTGGACCGTATAAACTTCGTATCTAGGGGTCGCCATTTTGTACGAGTCTGCGCGGTGTGGTTTTCGCATGGAAAGGGAAATCGCCCCTCTGCCTGAGGGGGGAATGGATTCATAGGTTTGTAAGTAAATAAAAGCTTATTTTGTGAAAGATACTCACCAAATTTGGCAGCCAAATATTACTATTTATTTATTCTGACGCTCTATGTTGATAGATGTTCAGGAAAAATCCCTAGTTTATTTTAGAAATTGATCATTTCATGTCATACGGTAGTGACATCTAGTGAATTTTTCAGTAACTGAATTTGACGTTTCATGATTGTAAACAAATTTTGTGATTTCGCGTGTTCAGTTTGTTATTTTCTTATTAATTGAAGATTGCGTAACATATTACTAAAAAACTGTTTAAATATTAAGGTAAGACGTTTTTTATATATCTTCTTAGTGTTCTTTTTGTTGATATATAAATTAATTGAGGTTAAGTGACAGTAGGATTATTCTTAAAAATAAAAAAGTTAAACGTTCTGAGTGAAAACTATTTGGTAAAATCGGTACAACATAATGATTACACACCTTACAAAATATGACCCTTTATCAGTAACTAAATGAATAACTTAGAATAACTACTATAGCCATAGAAATAATATTGTGTTATTCATTCAAAGAGTTGTAACTACTTTACTATTATTATTCTACACCGTCCGTAGTACAAACTACAAAAACAAAACTAACCTATATAGACAATTTATCTAATATATGGAATCTATTATTTTATGAAAATCATTAGTTTCCTATAGAAATATTTCATCAAAATTCACTAGTCCAAATGGACTAGTTCAGTAGTGGATGGAAATCCATCCACTACTGAACTTGTTTATGATTAATCTTTCAACTTGATTACCATTAAAGTTAACTTTTATCTACAAAACTTGTCTGTAATATGAGAAATCTTATTTCTGGCGCCTAATGTGATTTTTCCTTAAAAGGAAATAATGCAGTCGCTGCATATAAAATACTAACTTTCATTCAAATCTGGCTAAGACTCAGTGCTGAGTAGCTAAAAATAATTGGGAAAAGGTCAGAAGAAAAACAAAAGCAGAATATAAGTGGATAAGGTTTGATTAAGGACCAAAGAGGTTTGGTTCTTTTTCTTGTTAGTTTTATCTTATAGCGAGATATACAATATCTGGATAACTTTAAGATATAGATAAAACAGACTGTTTATATAACATTCTTGGTATCACCAGTAAACAATAAATAAAACAAGTTTACAAATTGTACCTATGTCTAATATTTTATATTATTTCATAAAATAATCTAATTACAAAGTCTAAGTGGCGTAGAACTTATCATCTAAATGACTAATTTATCAATGTTACAAAATATGTATAAAGTATTTTTTTTTTATAAAATTAATTAAAATCACATTATTAAGTAGTTTCGTCAGCATTTCATCGTGGCCTCTTGTATTCACCGGACTCTTCTGATGATCCTGAAAAAAATAACAAATATTATTTCTGTTCCAAATATTGAACAAGGATATAAAGTAGCTATTATTATTTAGTAATATGATAGCTAATGGTTGTTGTTTATTAACTCGTCGAGTACCGGTTTTGCAGACACAATTATAGAACAATAGGTTGCGGTCACCGGTGACCGCTTGGTATTTGACAGTTTAATAGAAGATATTACAATATAAGACTACAATATGTCATGTGAATGTTAGCTCATTGTCGTTTGTAGGACTCATTAACATATTCATGTAAACTTGTCGGTTAGCAATCATACAGTAATATTCATAACCAAATACAAATCCAACCTGTGGACCTATGACACCAGCGCCCCCTCCACCCTGGCTCGCAGACACAGGCGCCGGCCACACAGCGGCCGTGTCGACACGTGTGCTGGCCCGCACAAGACTCCCCCCTGCACGAGCAGTCGCCCACCCGTCGCCCCACCTCGCAGTGGTTACCGCCCAGTCCCACAGGACACCGACATTTGTTCACCCCTTTACACCGACCACCATTCAAGCACGGGATCACGCATTTTGCTGAAAAAAATATGCTTTATTTATTATTTAGGAAGACACAGTTTCTGTTGATGAAACAATAAAAGAAACTAAGAGGATTTTGATAATACTTAAAAAAAGGAACAGGGCAAGGTTGTTACGATTTTAGTTACTCACAAAATTCACAACGTAATCCATAGTACCCCTTCGGACATTCGCAGGTGTCCTTCTGTATACATTTGCCGCCATTTAGACATTTTTGAGCGCATATACCTGTAAAAGAGAATACATTTTTTATTTCAGAAATATTACAAGATGCTGCGTAAATCCGTACTACAACAGATTCGCTGTGCGCACAGTACTGTGTCAGCCAGCGCACGACCATATTGGAAGAAGAATCCTCATGTAAGTAAGACAATCAAGTTACTCAATACAAAAGTTAAACTTACTAATGTATTATAACTACAATAATGTATACAATAAGGCATACCGAATGATTATGTGTATAGGGATTTATTCATGTGAATGTCCGACTGATTTCGAACTCGACCACAGACCTTTTTATAAGTTACACACGCGACAATGTCCACTAGTTGAAAACCCTAAGAAAACAACGCAAACATACTTCTTTCTTGACTAAGCCTAAAAGAATTTTTATCATATTTCAGTTAGACCAGATAATTCGAGTAGACCATGCAGGCGAGCTGGGCGCGGACCGTATCTACGCTGGTCAGATGGCAGTGCTCGGTAGCACCGCGGAAGGTCCACTCATACAACACATGTGGGACCAGGAGAAGAAGCATCGCGCCAAGTTTGAGGAGCTAATCAATGAGTACAGAGTCCGACCCACGGCGCTTACACCTATATGGAATGTCGCTGGCTTCGTGTTAGGCGCTGGTAAGGATTTAACGTATTGATTTAAACCTATTACTTATAATATTTAAAATTACTACTCAAGCCTTAATCTGATTGTTTCCATCCAAAATGCTCAACTTAATATTTATCAATTACAGGCTCAGCGCTCTTAGGCAAAGAAGCGGCGATGGCTTGCACAGTTGCCGTAGAAACCGTGATAGTAGACCATTATAACGACCAGCTCCGAACGTTAATGGAGGACCCTAACATCGACAAGGAGATCTTGCAGACTATTACCAAGTTCCGTGATGAGGAGCAGGAACACCATGACACAGGGATCGACCATGGAGCTGAACAAGCACCCTTCTACAAAGCCTTGACTGAAGTTATAAAGGCTGGATGTAAATGCGCCATTGCTATTTCGAAAAAGGTTTAGACTAAAGAGGTTTTTGACATTTAAAGATGGCGGCGGTGAAGTGGCTCTTGTTTACGTCAAATCGTGATACTGGCCGAAAATACGCAAGTGAGTAAAATTGAACTCACCAAGTAGTTTTGTTGCAAAGTAATGGTCATAAGGTCATAAATTATAGTCTGTTGATATGAATTTGTTGGTGGTTTTACTATTTTTTTTTTACACAGAAATCAAGCGAAAACATTATGTTTAGTCACCAGATAGAAAGAAAGTTGGTCTTAAATGATATGACAAATTCTACAGACTGATTGCAAGACCATGTCGTGTTCACGATTTTTGTTGACAGGAGCCGTTCTGTATTTGCTCATAGCGGGTAGTTAATTAGTTTATTGTAATACAAGTTAGTTGTTCAAAGCTAACGCACTTTGTTAATACCATAAAGTGAATTCCGTAATTATTTTGCCGACTAATAATTTTCGACTAAAAATGAAAGAAGTAAGGCCTAATGAACCTAATATAATTTTAAAATAATACCCCGAAATTGAAATCATTTTATTAGAATATAAGACTCTCTTTTAAAGCTGCAATAAGATACTATAGATACAAGATACTATTGGCAAAAGAATGAAAGGTACAATTTTATACAATAGGCAATACAGTCTAACGTAAAATGAAAACCGATAATTACCTCTCAAAGAAAAATCAATGTTAATAAGGGTTAATAGATTGTTTTACAATATTACCTGCGGGTCGCGGAAAGCGGTGCCCATTTTCACCGGGTCAACCCTGAGAAGGAGAAACCTCCAAAACAAGGTTAATAATAATAATCTAAATCAACCGATGTTACCTACTGTTACGAAAAGTATTATTTCCATAAATACAATTGTTTGGTTGTTTAGTATTGCAAAAATGTACCGTTATATATTTTTGTTACCTACATAAATAAATTATATTACATAAACTTTTGTTAATTATACTAATAACCTTAAAATCTAAAAACTTTTACAGCCTTTCATAAACTTTTAACAACTGTAAAGTTAACGCAAATACTTTCATAAGTAATTTATTTAAAACAATACCTAAAAGTGCATGACGTTCATTTTCAGGCCACCCAAAATGTTTTCAACCTTATGTCACAAAAGATAAAATTGGAAATCGTAAAGCCAAATAACCATACACCTAGACCAGTCTATGACTTTTATACACTAACCTCCTTCACAATTTTACAGCATCTCACATAAACAATCTACAATCAAAATAGATTTTCGACCCTACCAACAAAATGATGAAGTCTAAATTCTATTGGAGGAATTTGACAAACCAAACACTAATATTAACTTTTTCTTTTTATACCAACCTCCTTCACAATTCCGTCCCTGGTACCCTGGCGGACAGGAGCAGACTCCGGGCGCGGTGCAGTTCCCTCCATTCATGCACTGCGGGTAACACAGCGCCGTCCTACAGTCCTGCCCCATGTATCCTTCAGGACATTGACATATCTTCTCGTTATTGCACCACCCCTGATTCGCACATTTTTTGTCGCACTCCGGATCCGGCCCTGTTGAAGGGTTGATTTTAATTTATCGTTTTTTTAGGCCTAAGAAAATTATTTCAAATATTATCTTCTAAATTAGTTATTTAAGAACTTTTACTAAATATAGCATAGCTTTCTTTTTGATTTAGTTGAGGTAAAGGAAGCTACTATTAGGAGGACCATGGACGAAACGTTTAGCCCATGCTAGAAAGTATTGGTAGTTTAGTTGTAATTAAGTTAATGAAAGCATGAAATAAAACAAAAGCATAAAATGTCAGAAATGATTTATAATGGCACTAAGTACTAAACTATTATTAAAAATTGTAAGTAATATTAGTTAGAAAGCAAGCATGATACGAACCTAAAAACGCAAATGCCGTGAGCAGAGGCACCGTATTCAGCCAGTCGGCGCACTCGGCGACATCCCGGAAAATAATGCATTCGGTTAATTAGACCTGGCGCACATCGCAGGCGTCACAAATACAGCCTACATTAGTACTCGTGAGAGACGGACATTACAGCGATTACAATGCCAACATTTCAATAGAATATCGATCAGGTAACCAGTAACAAAGACCATAATTCAAGAGAATTATTATTATAAAATAAACGATTCGTTTAAATTATCGATTGTTTTTTGTACAAATCTCGACTACAAAACACCAATAAAATGTGAATCGCTGTATTGTTCCCAGTGAAATGGACACAAACGGTGACGTGACTTATTTTACTGTGAACCGTAATAGTGGTTGTATAGCGCTCGCTTACCAACTACCCATAAATGTATTATTAGTAGCGTAAGCATAACAATATGAGCTCGAAATAGATGAAATGCAATGTTTAGTGCTTCGTTTCTCGTACTCAACTTCGCTATACTTCGTTTTTTCAACGCTAAGCATGAGAAATTGAATTAATAAGCTTTCGGGATACAATAGATCTTTGGCAGTATTTGTAGAAGAATAATAAAATTAAACTGTTATTTTAAATCAAGGTAATAAGCGTTACGTCTGTGTTTTTGTAGTTGCTCATTGTTCAAAGTCTTTCAATAGGGGTAATAATTTATTTGTAGTTAATGAATTAGTATGAAACACGTGCGGTATTAGAGACAGCTACAAAAACACAGGCGTGTAAGTGTTAAAAATGCGTTGGCGATACAATACCTGTCCTTTCTAAATACACACCTCTCTGTGCGCATTCCTTCTTTAGGTGTAATCTAAGTGGGGTGCCTTTAAGCGGCAAACCGCGGCCATTTTTTAGCACAAGGCCTATTTCAAATGTGGCCACACCGCTATTATTGCCCACACATGGCAAAATTATACTGAATTCTGTAAAAAACATGGTTATTACATATTTGCTTATTTAAGGAACGGCTCGTTTGTACTGGTGTGGCTAAAACGATAAACTGCACATTTCCTGACTTATTTTTAGTACCTAACAGATAAAAATAAGTGTGACAACAATAAAATTATTGAGTTGAACTTTTAAATTCATTGATATTACTGACAGACAAGGAATATTTATTCCGCCTTCTCTTTGGAGAACGAAGTACCTAAAGGAGATCAGTTAGCACCAGGTACCCATTTTGGTATCCGAGAAAAATTAAAAAGAAAATTACCTTTAGAAGTTTTAGGCACCCGTCCGCGGGTCTTTATGGACAGGACAGGTGGTTTCAGTATAGTCAGGTCTGATGACGTCAAAATATCAAAGTCGTAATAGTACCGCTTCTTGGATTTCCATGTAAAGTTGACGTAGCCCACTTCAGATGGTATCACTGGTAGTTTGTTTGAGAAGTTCGGGTCCAACACGTATGGTGATACGTGCCCGTTTATTATGGCGAATACTTGCATTGATATGCCTGAAAAGAAACAGAAACGGTGTTCAAACAAGAAACGTTTTAGATTTAGCAAATTTCTGCCAACTTGACTAGACGAAAATGCATCCGTTAGAATCGTAGATAATATTGGAAAATATGTAGACTGTCCTTTTAGTATCCGGACAATAATCTATCCCCGTGCAAAATTTCACCCGGATTCGTTCAGTTCTTCCGGCGTGATTGAACAACAAACAATTTTCGCGTCACTTAAGGATTTTTATTGTAATTATAATTTTAATATTAGTTTAGCTATTTACGTCAGTAGTCTGAGGTGTGAATTACCAAAGTGTCGACCGACCTTTAGACAGTTTTTATTTGAACTTGGTAATTATTTAATTCACATTCTCATGTCAAATGGAGGATAACCAACTATTTATTACTTTTTCTGTTGTTCATTCATGTGAGTAATAAATGAGATCATGCTCATTCAGTTTAATTACCTTTATTACCTATTCACTTTATACGTCATTATTCATTATCGTCAAGCGCTAATTAATAGGTACATAACCATATAGAATGTAATCTAGGAGATATTATCAAAAGAAAATAGAACAGGGGACAACACTCGAAGAATCCAAGTATTGGATCGGAGAAGAGAAGGAGAAGTAAATCTAGTACTGGCCAGTAAGCAACCATAATCAATCTGTCAGGAATCTTTTTTCATTGTATTTTCGACTTTATGTCGGTATTACAAAGCCCTATTTATGGGGCAATGTTTAGTAAAAATATTAATAACTTACCACTGAACATCCGAACTTGTCGCTCATCTATCCAGAGCGAGAGGTCGGAGTGGTGGCGTGCCTCCGGGTCCTTGTAGTCGCGGCGACCGGCGCCGAGTGCCAGCGACATCGCCAGCGCCAGCCCGGCGCACAGCCGCGCGCCCATCGAAGCCGATCGCCACATACTACACACCACAAGAAGGAATTAAATTAACTTACTTCACGTAATAGATCACCTGATGGTAAGCAATCAGCGCCGCCCATGGACACTCAAAACGCCAAGACGTTAAGTACAAGTGCGATACCGGCCTTTTGGGAATTGGGAATTTGAGGATTGTGGAGGATTGGGGGATTCAGGAGACCGGGGACTAGGGAGGGGGGTAATTGGGCCTCCGGTAACCTCACTCACACGACGAACCACAACGCAAGCGTTGTTTCACGTCGGTTTTCTGTGAGGCCGTGGTATCACTCCGGTCGAGCCAGCCCATGCGTGCCGAAGCATGGTTCCCCCATACTTCAAACTGTTTTACGAGGTTACTCAACTAATTTCAAGTCACACTGGGGGCTCATATTTATAACCACTTGGTTGTGCCACGGAAGAAGAATTGTATAAAGGTTGCGACTCCTCTGGCGGGTAGTTTAGCTTCTTAAAACGTATTTACCAGTCCAAAGTGGCAGTCCAGATTTCAGCAAAACAAAAATGCACCGTTACAGGAACTAAATAACATGCAGGAAGGTATCTAAAAATGATTACCTTTTATTGCGAATTTTATGAAATTCTAACGTGAACACTGTAAGCACACTGTTGCTCCCTTCCTCAGATGCCCCCGTTTTATTTCAGATTGTCCAAACAGGATGACGTGAATAGATAAATAAATTGGGAATTCCATTTGGATTTTTTCCTTACGTTTTTGTAGATATAACAAGTTAAAGGCCATAGATTTTGGTACAAGTAGGTTAGTCACACATAAACAACTGTTTTGTACACTCAAACCCGTGTTTATATTTTCAAGCAATCTCTGATTTCTGATATCCTAAATCTTGTCCAATCCAATACGAATAGGTATAAAATAAAATAAAATCAAGTAATAAAGTAAGTGCTTAAATATAATAGCTGGTATACAACATGAACTTCTAAAGTGATCGTATCTCATCATCACGATTGAATCTCAATAAAAAACGCAGTCGTAAACTCTGGATGAGTCCGGTTCCAACGTTAAACCGAGTCGTTCCCGAGTATCCAATTAACAGTCCAGCCGAGCTATCACCTAAAATATGTCATAATTCCATTAAAACGTTCCAACGCGGACCAATAATAAGCGTGTAAGTGCCGTATAATTTGTTTGTCGACCATACAAAACCTCTCCCGTCCACAAAGAAAAAAGTAAAAGAAAAACAAAATTATCACAGTTAACATAATTGATTGAGACCGTTTGGGACGTGCTCCTACAAAGGTATTATCGTGAGAAACGCCGGACGAAAGTAAAAAAAGTTACAACTTCATTAAATATCCCCTGTCAAAAAGTAATGTCTACTAGTTTTTTACTTGCTCCCGGTGTCAAATTATACGTACAAAAGGTGTTAACAAAAAAGAAGAGTCCAATAACTCTATGCGTAGGGGTGCACAACAATTTACGTCTATGTTGATGTTACAATTTTGTATTTATTGATCACGCATGACTAGGCGATAACTTATTTTTTATTATTATTTTAGGTTTTCGAGGACGCAAACAGTCCATAGTGGCTTTTGATCTATTTATGCAAGCTTGTACAAGCTTACTCCTTACCCACACTATTGTTTCACCTCTCCTGCCATTCGCAAGTTTTTGAACAATGGTGCTTCAATACTATTGGGCCTCATTCAAATTCACGAGGTGCATTTAGGACAATCCCTTACTGTTCTTGCAACCCTACCAAGTTTGGGTTCTTATTATCCTATTGTTACGCCAATGTAAGTCAATAAACTAATATTTGTCTTGAACTATTGACATCGCTTCCATAAAGAATAAAATTGTTGTACACGACCCCCTTTGGCTCTATTTGAGTTATCACCCAATTATTACAATTAAATACAGCGTTAACAACATTAAAAATTTACGTGTTCTAGAAAAAATGCGTACAATTTTAAATAGAGCATCTTTATCGTAAGGTCAAGTAATGTTTACAATTATTATTATTAAAAAATAGATCTATGTACCTAATGTTTCAGGCGCCATTTATCAAAATATGTTGTAATGGTAACGATATTATTTATTTGTTTCGATAACCTCAAATTAGCGTAGTCTGATACCTTAGTTAGATAGAACATTGTGTTTATTATTATTGTGTGTATTTAATTATTGTAACTATAATTACAATTTGTTCTGTTATGAGCCAGCTCTTAGGTGGAAGTTGGGTTGCATTCTTGCTACAGACATTACATTGGTCGCCATACGATTTGGAAACGAAGATGCCTTTCGAGCCCACAATGGCTAAAAACGAATTATGTTTCCAAATCTAGCTAAGCTATCTAGTATAAGCTCATAGTAATCTCCGGGATATAAGTCAGAATATCTAGATGTGTATCTTATATCTTTCATCTTAGTGATAGTTATCTCTTCTCAGAAAGTTATCCACCTTTGTTATCTAGCGGTTATAAATGATTAGTGTGTAGTTATCCGCTTGTAATTACAACAATAATGTCTTCTTAATCTAAAGATATCCTACAAGCCGATCTCAACTTTAGGTATGGGTAATTGCAATTTTCTGAAGTAGGTAGGTATTATTAGGCAAACTCAGAGGTTGAAAACACAATCATTCTAAATTCGTACTAATTTAATATCTATTAAATGCGTTTTTGCGATATGCATTCCTTTCAATGTCGATATTAATTTGGCTAAACATTGCGTTAAAGATGTCTTTATTAAGCGTTTTTCTGTAAATAATCGATGTTTGTATTGTTATTATTTACTTTGAATTTACAAGTATTCTGGGTATTTCAGTGACACACATTCAACGTGTCATTCAAATCACATGACTTATGTCCAGCAAAATACAAAACTATAAGTCATAAGTAGTAAGAATGTACTTTTGCGGTATACAATATTATAGAAGCTATTGTTTTATTAATTCAAAGTGGAATTTTATTACTAACTCGGCTAGCAAACAAATTGAAGTCATTTAGGCTACTTTGAGTTGAGAGTCTGTTTGTCCAGTCGTCAATTGATCGTAGCTGTCTAGATCTTAATTTTATATTAAGATGCCTAACTAAAATTCATTGAATTTCATTGTTATTGTCTTGCATTAATATCTGGCCGTGACTAGATGGAAGCAGTGGTTTTTAGAGACTAGGCGTTAGAGTAAATAAAAATATTTGATTTACTTGGTCGTGTATTAAAATAATTTGATTCGTTGTAGAAGTTCGTTCAATCTGATGTAAAAATAACGCGTAAAGGGTAAATACTTTAGTTCCGAATGACAGTTTCAGTAAATGAGACGGGTGCATCCTGTGATAAGACGTGCGAATGACCGTGGGACAATCGCGAAACACCCGAATGTTTGTGTATTTGCAAACTACATACGTCATTTTAGTGCAATTTATTACCGAGTTTAGCATTAATATCTCGATAATTTTGGATCTTTCTCTCAATATTTACTAATAAATTGTTCAATTGAAGTTTGATTTTACTACACAACACTAAATAGTTTTCTAACCGACTTCGAAAAAAAGAGGTTCTCAATTTGACGCTATTTTGTGCGCTATTATCTCGCGATTAACTGAACTGATTTTGATACGGTTTTCAGAAAAGAGTTAGTCACACTTAGGAGATGGTTGTAGTACCTACCTATAATTAACAGACTTCAAAAAAGTGGGCGCTGAAGTCGCTTTTATAAACGTAGTAGGTATATAAAAGCATTATTAAAGGCTGGTGCTACACTTTTCCAATTACCATCTGTAATACAACACGTCAAATAAACAAGCAATCCAAATTATATATGAAGTAGTAGTGGTACAATAAAACACTGTTATCCGAAGATAGGGCACCTCTGGCGGGTGCACTTGTTAAGGTAACCAGCGGGCAGCGGGCCAGTCGATACGATACCCGTTCAGGGAACAGGTAACAGCGTAAAAAGTAAAAAAATAAAGTCCGGCTGTCGGTCCGCGGCCGCCCCCGTCCGGCCGCGGGATAAGGACCACTGTTCACAGTGCGACTACAAAACACTCCATAATAACGCAACAATACTTCGCATAATTCTCACAATAAGAAAAGGATTATGTATTCCTGTGACTTTAATAAAGTATGCAGATTTATTATTCACGTTTCGCTGCCTTAATTTATATTGTACTCAAACTTTCTTAGATCGTGAAATGATCTCACGATCACTTTGATCAAATGAATTTAGTAAATATTTGGACCAATACAAAATGTTAACTGATTATTTTTAGAACACGTACGTAGTTAAATGTTTGCAGTACTTTGCTTACAAATTATCATCTTTATGACGTCTTAGATTTATCTAACCGCAATGCCTATGCGGGCCAATTAAAAGATGCACTGCCTGAGATCAATTAATCTTATAAGTGCACAACGATTAAAACGTCGTTAGGAACAGAGTTTATGCAAAATGACGGAGAAATAAATCGTTCAACATTTGTCGAGTAAGAGCCAGGACTATTAAACCTGCATAACCATTCCATTTTTTTATTACAACTTTGTCAGATAGATCATAAAGCCGGTTCCATTATTTTATCCATCGTGTCTGAGGATACTAATAAAAATTACTCGCGACTAGTAGTGTGTTAACAGGCAGCCTTACATCGGGCCATGGTGCACCGTGCATGTGCAGTGTACTCCTAACATATGATCCCATAGTTAGGGCCTCTATTAATAACACACCGTGATGTTTACATTTGCCAGATAGCAATGTTTACTTTTTTGTGCTTTCTTTAATCTCCTGTTTTTAAAAGCACCTTTTTATGAATATTCGGAAGTTTTATCTTTAATTGGTACACATTCATGTATGATTGCACTAATCCAATTCTCCGTGTAATTGGAACATTAATCAGAAAACATAAACACTTATGTGGGTAATTAATAAAGACGATCGCCACTCGAATTCCGAATCGATTAAACAATTAACTTTTAAGTGGGATCAACGATCTTTTATTTACCGACCTCTGTCATCCTGGATGGATTTCGCGATATGATACAGTTTACAAGAACGTTCTTATCTCACCTGTTATAAATGGCGTGTTCCTAATAAAATAAAATTGCAGCACGCGCGATCATAATTTAAAAGTCACTTCACAACTCGCGAACTCGGACGTCTCGTTTGACAACAAATATAAAACGTTCGATGATGTGCCGCCCTCGCGACGGTCGGACACAGACTGCCGACATACTGGCTCTTTACTCAATACACAGCTTTGTTTTGCGCTTCGAAAAGTTCCATCACAAAGGATTTTGGACTTAAAATTTGATCAAATAGAAGTGACGCAGGCCGAGCCATAAAGTTTGTGTTGATATCTCGTCAATATAATTTACGATCAACATTTTGCATGTTTCCATTGATAGCAAATCATCCACCAGACGTGGGATGCTTTACAAGCAGCTTACATACAATGTTATGGCCGGTCAAATTTAGCATCTGCTGATTAGATTAACTGCTGGTTATGGCTCTGGCGATGTATTATCAATAAATCTGTCGTCTCGGTGACTGGATTAGCATATGCAAAAAGAGCGATGCGATTGAATTATGGATGTAGAAGTCTTCAGAAGCACAAAGTTCCATCAGGAGTATGAATATTTATAATATTTCTTACTTGACTTATGTTGTTAAAGTTTAAAGTCAAACGGTTAGAGCTCAGTGGTTCATGAAACCGCAAGATGTTTTTGTTACTATTGTTAGCAGTTTATGAATGAATAGCGTGTAATGCCAGGTTTATATTTTACCTGCCATTGACGCATTGTTTAGTCTGTGCGCAACGTAATTTACTACTAGTGCAGTACCTAAGTACAGTACATTATGTTAAACAAGGTGACCCGCTGCGATCGAGGATGTTGAGTCTGCTCCTTTCACAAAAGAAGATCAATCTTTTATTTGTTGATATTGACAGTGTGATGAATATTCTGACAACTATTCAGTGGACTTTTTTACTCAATACAAAAAGAAGTAATTGATATTAAAGTCAGACTTAGATACACTAAAAATACAGAAGTGGTTTATAATTGTTGTTAAGGGATTTTAATAAAAGAAGTAAAATAACATTATACTAAAAATGTATAAGATATGTTTAAGTAGATGGAAGTTTCAGGCAGTTATGTGTAAATATTATAATGGGGTTGCGCATGCGCATGCGCATGCGCATGCGCATGCGCATACGCAATGCAGTTTTAAACTGATATTATTTTAAAATTAATGAAAAGTGTTAGACTAATTTATTTTGTTCAGCCATGATGAGTTTGATAACGAGGCAAAATCGGAAAAGTTTATACTCGTAATTATGATCCTACACATTTTAAAAGTAAAATAATGCGATAAACAACCAATTTGCTTTTGACCACAAGCAATACTTACAGTGCGAACGTAGGTACTTAATTAATTTAAAATACAAACTGGATAAAATACAATGTAGTCATAATTTCTATTTCTACAACTATCTACTGACAGTAGCTAAGCAAGTATTGATATATAAACATAATATAACATAACATCACGCCTTTTATCCTCGAAGGGGTAAGCAGAGGTGCACATTATGCCACTGTACAATGTAACACCCACTTTTCACTTTTTTGTGTGTTATGAGTCCCATGTAATAGGGCGTGAGCATATTGCCATATACTGGGCACAGTTCCAGACTCTGTGCTACTACTGAGAATTTTTATAAACCCCAATAATACTTTGTCCGACCCGGGAATCGAACCCGAGACCCCTTGGCCAACGAGGCAGTCAGATCTAAACTACTTACTACACTTACACTACTTACTGTGTAAAATATGTTCAGATTACCAAGCTTTTTATAGCAGGGCTCCTCTTCCTTGATAAATGGTAGACTGACCACAACGCTGTTGGCTACTATTTATAGCTAAAGGAACATGAAACTTGTCAAAACGGAGGCAGGCATTAGTTCTGCTAACCTAGATGAAACTGAAAAATAATAATATAGAAGTTGTAATTTGTTAGTTGAAAGGTCGCATGTGAAATTACCGATCAACGGTATGGATCAGGAATCGAACCATAGACTCGTACTTAGTTATTCTGTAAATATTAATTCGAACTTTCTAAGTAAGCTCGAACGCATTCTCGCCCGTCAGGCGTCATTAGCCGAGATTAGTCTTACAACCAATGACGGACCACGATCGAATTCACTTCGATCTTTCGAATTGAAAGTTATAGAATAACCTTCGGCTCGGTCCGTTAGTCGGACTTCCAATTGCGACCAATCGACCGACGACACAATCAATAACAACCTCTTAATTTATTACAATAGGTAAATATATAAATAGTTACTGTAATTACTTACCCGTACATTTAAAATAGCTCAATAAAAAACGGAACTTTGAAATATCTTGTTTTATATGTTGTGTTGTATTCTTGTTTTAGAATACAAATGTGTAGCAATTCGGTAGAGATTTCCATCAATAATTAAAATAGTGTTTTACTCTCGTAATATTAAGAACGGATTTTGTGTGTATCAGCTGAATTGATGGTGTACTACGAGGTTGTTATTTCGGTGTAAATACAAGTGTCAATAGTTTCTTGTGTTCAAAAATAAAAGCCACAAAATAATTTCTTAATATTTATTTTCTATGCAACATAAAAAAATATTCATCATAGTTACAATAAATTACAGTTACTTAATGCGAACTAAAATGTAATTTACGATAATTCGTGAACAGAATCGTACGGGTCAGATCTGAAAATTTTACACAAGTCTTTACCTACACTTTTGTCATGATTTTAAACATTTTTTTAAAATATAATAAATGCAAACTATTATCTAATCAACGAAATAGTCCAATGTAGATAAAAAGCTTGCTTAGCAAATATAGTTAAACTGTTAGAGATGCTTAAATTTTTCCATTTTGTATGTAGTATAACAATAATGGTGAGGCGTCTGGCGCCTTCAATAAACTGACAAGCTCTCGACACTTGTTCCAAGACAATGGTAAAATTAAGCATCGTCAACATTATAGATAACACTGAATGTACCTCACAACAATTACAATCTACCAGTTCGTGTTTAGCGAATACTCCAGCTATTACTAAATATGTTCTCGAGACAAAAATATTGAAAGCATGATCTTATTAATTCTGTTCTTAAGAACTGGGAACGACATCGACACAAGGGTGCGTATTAAAGTGATAGAATATTATGAACACAGTTTTCTCTTGCGCTAGCTGGGGACTGGGATGCTTTCAATATATTCGGCTTCTACATTACTTCTATTACAATTCAATAAATTATGATTATCTTCAAAATGTTTCAGAAGTTCGTTACACTTGCGATCAAATAAAGGTACACAATTACAATTTCACAGCTACATCAACTACTGGGTACGGCGATGTACGGTAGTGATGTGGGACTATTGTTACAATGCACGGTAATATTGTGACACTAAGTAAATGCAGACATTGTGCTGTCAACTCGACAGTGGTACAATGAAAATCACATTTTCATTCAAAAATTTCACGTAAGGCAAGGTCTTTACTAGGTACGTGTTAAACAATATGAACACAGTGTAATTTAGTAGGGAAGGCAGTGAGAACATCCACCGTATACCGGTGGCTAACAATCTAATATCAAAATTTGTATTTTGAACCGTAACAAGATATTTTTAAGACAAAGAATTTTCAATCGTTAACGGGTATAAAAAGCGACAAAAACAGACGCGAATAGAACAAGGCTCCTACTATAATCAATTAATATTAATAGATATATATTAAATTCTTACTAGACAATAGACATGATAAAGACTCCTTAACAAATAACTTAAAGGGGTTACAATAACAGTGCCATCAAATATAAATATGCAATGTATAAGGTACCATTCGTTACAGTATAAGCTCTAAATGAGAACGATCAAAATGTTGGCATTCGAACATGTTACCTTGTCAAACTATACATAATAACGAGAGGAAATAAATATATGGGAGGCTCTAATATTTAAATAATTAATAAATTACGTTGCTAGTCTCAGCGGCGGTCTAGTTTTATAAACATTGTTCAGATTACATCTGACCGGCGCGGTAACGAGACTTGTAAATAAACCGATTTGAAAAATCAACATGGTTAGACCGTCTGGAATGTACTCAATTAAGACCCGACACCTTTCAGGCGGATAAATAAGTATACACAAATAAATAAAATTATAATAAAATAAATCGACGGTCCTCAGTGCACGCCGCACTCGACACGCCAGTGTACGAATAAACCGGATACAATAGGTACAGATAAGGCAAACAATAAAATATACATGTACAGATGCAGTAAGCGAACGCGTTAGCTACCTAACATTAGTTAACACGAATCCCTAGCCTTAATCTAGACACGATACAATTGAGATAGTGTCGCGCGGCCGCGAGACCACTGCTGCCGACGATTCCTTCTCTTACATGTTGGCGTTATACAACACAGGTCGCAAGTACATGCAGTGGTCTCGAAGCCGCACTCGTCCAAAATCAGAAACATTAACTTGGGCATAACTTCAATGTGATCGGTGCAAAACTTCAATAAAGTCAAATATTGAAAAATTCAAATACGAAAAAAGCCTATAAAGAGGACTTATTACTACGTAAGAGAGACATTTTACTGACGGGTCGCCCCGTACTAAATTCATTCGAGATTGAGAGATGTACCGTAGTGGATGGTCACGGATAACTATGTCTGAATGACAAAACTCTATACAATAAACGTTACCGACTCCATCGATACCGCTGTACCAAGGAGCCGTTAGACAAACATCCAAGTGTTGAGGGACAAATTGAGATTTTGTAACTCCGAATAACCGAGATTCTTTCCGAATATCATTACGCCTACTATGTTACAGTCAGACATGTCAGCACACAACACGCACACTTCAAGCGGCTTTTATACAAGTTGATAATATTGACCATCTACATCTATATGTGTTACACAAGTGATATTAGTAGGGTGAGCTGAATGAGTGATTAGAACAACGTCTCTGACGATTCTCCACTGGACTCCATCCGAAGCCATCTTTCAATACTAGCTTTGTTACAACTTGAATAACGTTCTACTAGCAAATATATACTCGTTCAAAGACCACGATGCGTTTAGTTGCGTGAACTGACACCAAAGGTGGGATTAAGTGACGTAAAGGGGAAGGGGGAGGACAGGGAACCACCGACGCGACGTCTCCGCTAACAGAGATCACAACACCGAACCACGCCTCTCTTTAACTCTGCAAAGCACCACAATATGCCCCGGTGGTCAAACTGCGCAATTATATAAAAATATCTTTTTTCTTAATAAAATATACATTTTTAGATACTCAAATGTCCTTACCATTACCTACGCGTTTTAAAAGTTTGCAGCTACACTTATTCATAAGAGAATAATAAGTCTTAGAGAAGAACAACGCAAAGAAGAGTTCTTAATGTTTAACTAAAATATTAAATAGATTTCCTAAGTACAGCTGCAACATTGTGTCGCTCGGTAATGGGTAACGACATCAATTAATTGAACAAGCTTGGTCAACGCTTAAATGTACGTACATTTTAGAATGACGAAGATATACTGAATTTTATAACAGTCATATGTTCGATTCGTAAAATAAAAATCTATATGGTCCATAGCGTGTTACAAAGAGCGATTAGAAAGATATGCATTTGATATAAAAATAATCGATATACGAATTTGGCTTGCGAACTGACCATTGGCTGTACATCGCGTATACTTCGACCCGATGTTTGTAGACCAAACCTAATATCCTTACTTACAATAATTCCCTACGCCAATACTACGAAGCCAGTTAAGTCCGCAACGAGCGCACATGACCACCGGAGTCCAGAGCTAATTACCTTATTTTCTGTGACAAAAATAGCTTTTCTTATCTCAAGTCTTGACCAGCTACCGTATGGTTAACTACACGTAATTGATATCGAGCCGTAACATCGCCTACTTACTAACACAAGCCGAGTATCTCGACGTTCAGGTTTTGGAATGCGGCTACCGTTGTACCTCCATAAACATCGGGTATTCTGTTCTCTTGCAATATCCATTTGTAATCAGTGACGGTGACTGGGAATTAACGAGATTTTGAGGAAGTGTTTATTAGGTTCTACAAAACGATGAATGTTTGCGATTGCTCCCAAAACCTGAACGCCAGTGCCAGTTTGACTATTTCTCATTACTTAAAATCAGTCTCATAAATAACGAAATGTTCAACAGACTTAGAGACGATCTCTACGATCTCAGGGAGCATAGTCAATAAAACCGTATAGCCTTGTGTATGGACACTAACAGCCGGCCGAAACAGAATAGTAGGCTTCGTTATCAGCTTACACTAATGCTTACACCCTAATAAATTTCAACTAAATACAGTCACTGTGATTAGCTGCGTTCTGTTCACCGATGTAAAGCTTTGGACAAATAGATGTCAACTCGCGCGACGTCACACTGGGAAATCTTTACCGAAGTTCTCGATATCACTTTCAAAATTGGATAAAGGCACAGATGTTTTTCCCGCTCTACAGGATGTTCAATAATTGACCGCTACCTTTACATCGCGCTAGTTACATCTATGTTCGACCATCCAACACTTATAAATGGCAGTGCAGTGTCAGAACATCTCCGCGTCTTACAAATAGCTATGAAGCTTATAGTATCGATGGTCGTAGCTGTCGAAAAAATCGAATTTCTATCGAGTCATAGAATGACATCGTGAAATGTATAAAGTAAAAATACAACATAATATTACGAATTTGAAATGAAAGTGTCGACTGGTGACGCGATATTATTTCCCTCTGGCCTGGCGTGGATGTAGGCCGGGCGCAGTTAGACGTAGGTGGGCGGCTGCGGCGCGGGCGGCGGCGGCAGCACGCGCGCGCCCGGCACGTACTGCCCGATGAACGACCCGTCCTCCGTGAACCGACCTGTACACGTACACCACTCATTACCACCAATATATACATACACAGGGGACAACGAGTAAGTAGAATACGATCTTAATTGTAATTAGACCGGATCCCTATGATCTGGTCTAATGGATAAGAAATAATGTCATATGAAAATAAAAAAACATAAACATTTTAGATCGATTTAACCTGAAACCTGGTATTAAATGAGATTTATGTTAACAGTTTAAAAAGACATAATGTTATTACACATTGCATTAATAAAATAAAATAACATAACAACAAACATAGTGGTATAAATAATTGCAAAAAAAACACAAAAGAAAAAAAAGCAAAAATAAAATCATACCTTACAAAACGAAATAAAAACGGCGCTCGTGCAGGCAAAGAAAAAGAGGAGAGGGACGGAATGAAGGAATAATATAAACATCAAAACAAATGCAAAACTTATAACAAAGCACGCTAATAAACATTTAAGTAGGAAATATTCACTCCAAATAATATCATTTGTTTCTTTACAACCTAATATTACTTACATACAAATTATTCTGTACTTATAACCTAACCTAAGCTGCGAACGTTACTTGCGAAGGGTGACGGAATACTCAGTGACAAAGCCTTTATTTAAAACTATTTTTGAAATAGTGCAATAAAGACTGGACGCCCATGTTTCTAATATAACTACTTTCTTACTAATTTTACTTTTATAGTACAAAAAATGTGTCTAAAACGGCAGAATACTGCCTAGATCAATAAAAAAAAAGATTCACAACGATATTCACAGATCGAAAATTATTTGAAGAGAATTTTGGCGGGCGACTTCACCTTCCAATGTCATATATTGACCAATCAGATCGAAGAACAAAATATTTTGCCTAACGCGATTGGCTGCCAGTACCGGACTGTTTTATGTTGCATTATAATGTGATGCAATGGCACTACGTTACATTCAAGCGTACAAGAACGTAGCTATACTTGGAGCGCTTGTTTCAAAGGCTTTTGAGTTTTGAGCTTAGTGTTTACTGAGATAGACTACATTTTTTATTGTTCTAAAACAGAAAAGTTCTAAAATTAAAGTGCATTGATGACCCTAATGGACGACAGCCCACATTTAAATTTTTTGTCTAATATTAGACGGACTTATATCCTAAAATCCTACTTAATATCGTTATCTCAGTAAACACAAGTCGTTTTTATAAGAGTGCAAGGTTTTGGGGAATGGGTAAGGGGTTTAGACGAGGGTGGCGAAGGCCTGCGAAGCGGAATCAGTCTGCCCGGTGGTCGGGGGCCGTCGTTTGCGGCCATATTGTCCGATGAAAGACCCGTCCTCGTTCATACCCGCTGCAAAGTTCACATGCTTTATGCTCACAGCCAACGACACACATGCTTCACATAATTGGGAAACAAAACTCACTGACCAAAAAGTATGAATTACCACAAAATGAAACTTTTTGATCAGTTCAACAAAAAAAAAGCTATCGTGCAAACAAAGAAAAATCTTAGAGAATCCGTGCAACTAAGGACACAGACTACAAAGAGTTTTCAAAATCGAAGAATGGTACTTATTAAACAAAGGCAAGATATTAAAAAGTCTACTTCAACAACAACAAGCTTAATTAATTAGCTCTAACAAAAATAATCAATGCAAGGAATTGAATGACAACTAAGAAATACGTCAATGGTATAATCCTTTTGCAGCTTTATTTGCAGTTTAGTACATAGAAATGTATTACACATACCGGTTTCGCCTTCTCCGTACTCAGCCATTGAGTCGGTGTCGCTCTCAGGGCCAGGCTTCGTGCCGCTACTCATCGAATGACGAGACTTGTTGTCAAGACTGGAATGGACAAAATATGAATGTAATACTGACGTTGATGATATAGAATTGTAATGGTATGTATGTATTTATAAGTAAGCTGAAAGGATCTATGTCGGCTTTACCAGTTACCCTAAACACTGCGTTTTTAGTATAAGATTTATTGGATTTCAGGAGTTTGGTGGTAATACAAAGTTATGATATTGTCGTCTAAGAGCATTTAAATTTATACTTTTGCATAAACTTTTAGAGAAATGATTAATGTGATGTTCTCTTCTAATGTGATATTGTTACTTAAATGTAGTGTAGGGAATAGATCACTGGAGAATTTCTGTAATTTTTATCTGTATAAATAAATTACGATTGTTTCGTTGGTCCAGTGGTCGCATGTGCCACTGCCGGGCAAGAGGTCTCAAGTTCGATTCCTGAGTCGGGCAAAGTATTACTGGGTTTCTAAAAGAAAAGTTGTAGTAGCACGGAGTCTAGAATTGTGCCGTGTATATGGCAGTAGGCACATCCCTTGTTATATGGGAGTCATAACACAAATAGTGAACCGTTGGTGTGACATGGCAGTGGCGGGCAGTACGTACGGGTGCGTGTACTCGTGGAAGCCGCCGTCGGCGTAGTCGCGGCGGCCGTGCGCCAGCTCGCGGTCGTGCACGTCGTACTTGCCGCCTCGGTTGCGGCGCGCCACGCACACCAGCACCAGCACCAGCAGCAGGAAGGCCAGCGCCAACATGACGCCGATGAACCAGCCCGCCGACGCCGTCTTGTCCTCGCCCGGCTCCACGATCGGGCCGTCTGCAGCCCACACATACTGCGTTACACATCTCCTTGGTGCAGTCGTCAACGTGTCAACGATCATGGTCGAAATATACATTATACGAAATAAGTGTGGGAGAGCCATGCTTCGGCACGAATGGGCCGGTTCGACCGGAGTGATACCACGGCCGAGCAGAAAACCGACGTGAAGCAACGGTTGCGTTGTGTTTCGTCGGGTGAGTGAGGTTACCGGAGGCCCAATTACCTTCCCCTTCCCCAATCTCCCCAATCCCTGAATCCCCAACGATCCTCAAACTCCTAATCCCCAAAAAGCCGGTGACGCACTTTTAACGCCTCTGGTGTTCCAGGTGTCCATGGGCGACGCCGATTGCTTACCATCAGGTGATCCGTCTGTTCGTTCACCGGCTTATGCCACAAAAAAAGTAAGAAAATATCTATGACTGTTACTCACCAATCGTAGTGTCAACATCCTTAATCTCACTAGAACTGAAGTATTCTCCGTCATGTGCCGTGAGTTTGACCTCGTACACCTGTCCCGGCTCCAGCCCCGTCAGGATCACGTAGTCATCGTCTGTCACCTCGTTAGTCTTCGACCAGTCAGGGTGACCCTTCAATTTGTACCATGCGACGAAATGAGTACCTGCGTGACCATCCAATGACGGGATCCAACGGACCAAGATATGAGCAGTTCCCTCCTTAGCCGGCAATGTACTCGTCTCAAACACTGGGATATCAGGCTTAGCAGTCACCACTGACTTAGTAGATTGCTCCACATAGTACTTGTCTCCTTCACCGGCCTTAGTCTTAGCTCTGATCTCAATGCGGTATTTCGTGTTGGGTTCCAAACCAGCCAACTTTGCGCGGTCGAATTTAGGATCGATCTCCTTCTTCCTTTCTTGAATGGGTCCCAGAGAAGTTCCAGTGACCTTCTGGTAGTAGATCTTGTAGCCAGTGAGGACTCCGTTCTCGTCGACAGGTTTGTCCCATTTCAGGAGCATAGCTGAGGAGCCGATGGGGTACACTTCGAATGATTTGACGGTACCAGGTTTGCCTTCAGGAGTATGGAAGCTGAGAGTATCACTGGCAGGACCATTGAAACGGCCATTGTATACCAAAATTCGAGCATTGTTCTTTTTGTATGGCTTGAATTTACTGACTAGAGCACTGGAAGCGTCAGCCTTGACTAGGATTTCTTTGAGCCTGTCCTCTTCGCCATCGACCCAGGTTTGGATTTTGTAACCCTTGAAGTGTCCTCGTACGGACTCTGGTGGCACTGGGTTCCAGTTGAGTAGTGCAGTAGTGCCGGTGGTGACCTGTACGAGTGTAAAGTTCTGTGGAGCCAGCATTGGCATGTCTTCACCGGACCAGCCGATGACTTCCACGGGCGTCACGTTGGATGTACCTTTGTAGTTCACTGCGGTAACCTGGAGACATTCAAAGAAAGTTAGTGATTTCAAATTGTTTCTTATATCAGTATCAAAAAATGTAATAGGTATCGTTTATATGTATTACCTTGACTTTGTAGGGTACGAAGGTGGGTGTATTGAGTACGGTGTACTCAGTTTGTTGCCAGTCGCGGACTTGTTCCTCGACCCAGGGCTGGCCTGTGATGTTGCGACGCCAAGTCACCAGGTAGTAGAAGCCGGGGCCATTGTGTTCGATTTGGGGCATTTTCTAGAAGGAAACAAGGTGTTAGTCCTTAATAAACTGTATGTATCATGCTCGAACGTCGAAATTGGTTTGCAAAGGTTTGTTTTACGATTAGATAGGTGTAATCTCTGTTTAGTACTTTAAGTGTCTACTAACCGACCAAGAGATGACCATATTTGTGGGGTCTGAGCCTTCTCCCACTACATTGTCAGGGTTCTTGTAGGGAACGTCTGGCTGTGTCGTACAGACATCGGAATGTGACGATGGAGTTGACGGTCCGATCTTGTTCCACGCGCTCACTCTGAAATCCGAAAGACATATATTGTAAGTATTCTATTCATAAAAGAAGAATCTTTCCTAAATACTTATATAGTCATTGTAATGTTAACTTGAATATTAGCACAAGAAATCATAAAAAAACCAGAGTAATAATGAAAATTTTCAAAATAACTTTTGATTTTAAATACAAGCACTTAAAACTAAAGGTAATTTGATAAGTAAGAAATAGTAAATGAAAAATACCTGAAAGTGTAATTAGCCCAAGGACTGAGCTGGACGGTCCATGACGTGTCAATAGCGGGTACATTATCACTGGCCACGTCCCACGTGTCGGGTGTGAAGGTAGTGTTGTACTGTATGGAGTAGCGCAGGATGGGGGCGCGGTTGTCTCCCATGGAGTGCCAGCGGAGGGTGGCCGTCTTCTCGTGGCATTCAATTCCGTCTAACGCGGGAGGGTTCGGCTTGTCTGGAAGAGAAAATATTCGTTAGTCAAAATAGGGTAGTTTCCAGGGTATCAAAATTAAAAATCTAATTAGTCCGCCAGTTAGATAATGAAAAAATATTAGTCACGTATTTTTTTATTTTCTCGTATTAAGTTGCAATACTTAGATAAAATGGCGCTAAGTTTAGGAGTGGGAGGTCGTTACGTCATAACGTGCTTTAAAATGCGGCACACTGTGACGTCACACGATATTTCAAATTAATATATCGTCGAAAGTATTTAATTCTGCGAGAAAAGAAAAAATACGTGTCTAAAGTTTTAAAATAATGTACCAGACGGACATTATAATAAAATTTAGGCATCTACCCTATTGTAATATTACTTTCGACAGCATACAAAATTAGACACACTTAATGGTTTCGATCAATCATTGTAATTTCAACTGTCGAATGTCTGAAGTTCTAAAAGATATGTATCCATTTTAGATTTAGACTTAATAGATAATATCTTAAATAAACATTTATTTACATTCTCCTGTAAATAGGGATTATATTTCTAATCCTTCCTAACTAAACGAGGTCGAAGGCAACTAAAATTGTTGCGGTTGAAATCAGAGACAGGTAAACTTCTAAGACAGGAATTACAAGCAAAAGTTTAGAAGCTAGTAGCTTACGAGTTTAGAAACCACAACAGTGGGCAGTTACTACAAAGTACAAACTTGTTGTTTTCAACTCTAAAATAAACGTTCTAAGTTTCATTATACGTTACACATATTAGACCAATCATAACCGAGTTAGTTCTGGCAAACTGCCGAATAGTTCAGAGGTTTTCGGAACAGTGCAGTTCAGGTTACGACACATCGTAAAGTTTGTCCGAGTTACGTCATTATTATTATATTGTAAGAATTTCCCTGGAGATTGAGAATATTTGTTGAAGGAATACTTTGAGGAGCAATATTGGTAGTTCCGACAGTCGTTTTATTGTTATGTTTCTTTTAATTGTATATTTTAATGACACAATTTCATTCTTACAATGGTATTTAGCTTGTAACAACTTGTTTGTGATACAGCATCTATTATTTGAATGAAATAAATAACTATTCGAATTTGACCATTCACATTGTTGTTCATAACCAGAGAACTAGAGAGATTAATGGTACCAATAGGGTAGATGACTAATTTTTATTTTTAATGTCCGTCTGGTATAAACATTAGACACGTAAATTTTATTTTGTTACGGAAACGAATACTTTCGACGATATATTGATTTCAAATATCGCATGACGTCACTTTTGTGTACGCTTTATAGTAAAAAATACGTAGCTAGCTCCTACTCCTAAACTTTGATTCGTTTTATCTAAGTATTGTTTTCTTATACGACATATTAAAAAAATATATTTTTTCATCATCTAACTGACGGACTAATAAGGTTTTTAATTGTCATATCCTGTCATCATCCTTGTTGTTAACATTGAGACATTATTACACATTAACATACCTTGCACTGTAAGAGTAGCTTGCGCCCTGGCCTCATCAATAGCAGTCCTGGCAATACAGGTGTACTCTCCAGAGTCCAGCTCAGTGGTGTCAGAGATAAGGAGAGAATAGTCATTAGTCATGCGGAACCGGGGCTGGTTCTCAAAGTCTATCTGCTGTCCATCGTTGAGCCAAATGATCTGCAGCTTGAGGGAGTCGTCTGCGTTAGCGTTACAGCGGAACGTGGCGGAGGAGCCAGCTGCTACTTCGTAATGTTCTGGCTTGTCCGTGATTACTGTGCGTTCTGTGGAAATGGTTTGGTTTTGTTTAGTATTATTTTGGTAAAGTGAGGCTATAGTTTTTTTTTTTATTGATAGTAATGTAAGATAGACTAGTTTGCACTTGACTTGACAATCTTCTGTTTTAAACAAGTTGTTTAATATTTAAAAACTTACTTTTAACGTCGAGGGAGCCGAAAGCGGACTTCTCTCCGAACTTGTTCTTCGCATAACACTGGTACGTTCCCACGTCCGTGTAGGACACGTCGCGGATCACCAAGTCGCCGTCAGCAGTTATGTTGTACCTGGGAAGAAAGGAAATTATTAAACTTTATATTTTAACAATTAAAGACCAGATATTGTATCTTTTATAGACTTTGTTTAAACATTTATGAACAGCCAATCCTGATTGTGTATTTTCTTAAATAATCTTTGGTCCAATTTCCCTCTGTTAGGTTATTATTGGTATGTAATAAACATAACATATCTGTTATGCTTTATCATGGCCTTCAAAGACACCTTGTTTTTGTGTGAGTAAGAATTTTACTTTCGAATGAACTAAGCAACCAAGCATCCGAACCCCTGGGGATTAAATCTAAGAATCACGTACTGAACTAAATCAACGTAGGTATACAAAAACACTTTAACTATAAACGAACTATTTTTAACTAACAAGAAAAAAGTTATCTATAAAAAGCCGAACAAGTACAATACTAAGCAAAACAAAGACAGACAGAGATACTTCGCCAAAACACCGACATGACCTTTAACAAACGATCCCCTATTTATAAATAAATCTCCGTACCTGGACATTTATTTACAGATTAACCTCTGCCCTTAAGGTCCACAATCGAACTACTTATTTAACAAGATTAAGAGAAAACTTGGAAGCAATCACTCTTATTGGTTATCGATCAGAAGTTGTATAGGAAGGATATGTACTAAAGCTTCAAGGAATAAAGTTATTTGATCGATCTGTTCTAAAAGTTCTATGATATTAGTAATTCAATGAGCTGAACTGTTTTCATTACACATATCTAGTAGAAAAGAGGATATATTCCAGTCGTTTGAAAAACTCCTGACAATTTGGGAAACTTCCTTGTCTTAAAGACGTAGATAGGACTTAAAACCTACCTACCTCAAACACATATGGATAATGTTAAAGATGAATAAAAATCGGAAACTTCTGTTTCCTAAAGTGGCCATATAACCAAGACCTATTTACGAGAACTTTATAGAAATATCGTTCTGTTACAAGTATTCTCAAAGCAAAATAAATACATTTCCTTCTTTCCTTTAGCGAACCCTTTTCATGGAAAAGGGGAAGAGAAATCCGATAATATATTGTTGAGCGAGCACGTCTCGGGGACGTAGCGTAGGTACCATATTCTTGTTGAGCTATGTGCTCTAATCCTGTGTTTGTGCAATGTGAGAAACCGAGCAACGGGTGCGAGCAATTCTGTCGCGGAAACAGGAATATGCAAGGCTGATTTGAATCTAAGTAGGCTGTGTTGTTATGTAAATACGACGTTTAGAAGGTGTGTAGATCGATCGTAGTATGATCGGATTCTGTTTGGATGATTCAGAATATACTTATGTACGGCAAGAACTACAAATAACTGCCTTAAATACATATTTATGTAAGTATTATTCAACTGGCAACTAGAATGCAGACCAATGGCAAGATACCAGCTGGTTCTGTTCAAAACACATCCATTACAAATATTAGATCACTTTAAATCGTATACTTACTTTCCACCAGTGACGTCAACGTCATCCTTCATCCATTTGACGATGGGTTTCGGTGCTCCGAACACTCTGCATTTAAGCACAGCCTCGGAACCGTCTACCCTGGTGAGATTCTCTGGGCCTTCCTTGATTTCTGGCGGGATTGCTGTATAGACACATAAACTTTGATTTACTAAATATTCATCTTATGAAGCTTTTCAGTGACTGGCTACACGATAACAAGTAGGCGCAGTGGATGAAAATCCGACTGCTGTGCAAAACTGAGTGATCCACAAATTGTTGTCCAGGTCTGGGTGTTATGTGTATGTGAAATTTTATGTTTGTAAACGCACCCACGACACAGGTGAAAATCCTGGTGGGGCAAAGGTTTTTTTTAAATATTGTTCTGATTCTAGGTGTGATGTATCACACAGGAGAAAATTCTAGTGCTTGCAAAAACTCGTACGTATAATTTATATTATAAAACAAAACCTATAAATATACTTTTTTTGTGTTCTACGTTGAGAGGAGCAATAATACGGACATCTTATCAAATTAATAACGCGTAAATAGTCCTAAATGATGGGAACTCGAGCTCCATTTAAAAGCGATCATTACATTTACAGCAAACAGCAAATAAGAGGCCTCTAAGGGATCAATTACAATTCAGCGAAGGTTCTAATTTTCGTCGATTCTATCGCAGGGAAACTTGAAGATCCCTCTTTTGATTAATTGGTCACGTTTTCCCTCGCTTTCATGCTATTAGTCACCATTTCTGATATCAAGATCTATTCAAATACTCCAACGAGTAATAACGGTTTCGTTGTCCAAATATTAAGTGGCAAAATTATACTGTACTTTTGCTAAAAACACTCATGTTTACCACAATGTGGACTAACAAACAGGCTCATTATAACAATATATAAGATGCTAAGTGCATAATAATATCCGTGGGCAATATTTCTCGCGGATGGCGGGTGGGCGTGTGAATGTGTGCCGCGGTTCACGAGGATGTGTCCAATAGATGACTACTAGAGACAATCTCTTTATACACATGAATTCGCAAATTGCGGCCCCAGACTGTTAAATTTGGGGCTCTTGTTGAATAGCTAAGTATGTCGTACGCTTGCTCGGTCAGACATCAAACGTTTTCTTTGACGTCAGTGAGATATACACTGGTCAATGGTCATATATATAAAGCATATTTACAAAGTAATAAATTGAATTCTATTTCTGTTACTGAGTTTTTATCATCATAAAGCGAAGCAGCCTACCAAAAAATCCTGAAGCGGACGAAAAGTCCCACAAATATTCACGATCAAAGAAAATTACATCGATATTCACCGTTCAAAGTACGCAGAAATAATCAGGATCGGGTGTACTTAAAAGAAATTATTTTTTCGAACGTTTTATTTGATACTCGTTCAAATAGCCGGCAATAAAATGGGGGAAAATGGTAAATAATATTCGAGGGCGCAATATTATGAAAGGAGCCAATCAAACTGAGTGAGGAACGAGGACACAAATTATCATTACCTAATATTGTGCGTTACGTTAAATATTGTACGAAAATAAGGGAAAAAATCCAGTTATTTTTGTATTCCTGATTTGTTCGTTCCCGTATAATTTATATGGATGTTGATTTGTTATGGTAACCGCATTAGGGCGATTGTGAAAACAGATGCGTTTGTTTTACACAAACCAAAAATACATGTGATTCTTTTCCTGAGTGTTGAGCTGGAATGCAAAACAAAATTTGTACAAACATTGGCTACGCACCTTTTTAGCTGCAGGCATATAAACACAAACATTGAAAACAGCATTGGCTTTGTCTGTTATCAGAATGGGCACGGCTGACTACCGGTAGTGACATAACGCAGTATTCCCCGTACTTTGCAACTGTCCATCTTAATCTCCCACTTGTACTTCCTACTTGGCCCTCTTTAGTCGTTTCATTCATTCTATTAAGAGTTTGGTTTAACGAAGACGTATGTTCCTGCTTTGCTCAGCAACGTCGTAATACAAAATCACGAATAAGTACTTTTTAATAGAAACTCCCTGATCCTATGATTAAGGAAATTGAATTTGGGGTGCGGATCGTAAGCTAAGCGTCGAAAAAATTATGTACAAAAAGATACGAGATCGATTTATTATTAAAATAAAATATCGGTACTTTCTGCAAAATGGAATAAAAATGTTTTCTTAACAAATAATGACTACATGGTTGTAAATTGCTTCTCCGTTTACACATGTCGAAAGATTCTCAGAGGTCTCTTGCAAACTTATGAGAATGTTTTCGCATACAACCAAACATACAGCATTTCCAATAAAATAAAATATGATCGAACGGTATTATATCTTTATCGAGGAATTACTTAATTTAATAGACCTATAGAATACATTATGAGGGGGATCAGGGGCGGACAATACGACGTAAAAGGAATTTCCGATGTCACAGGCTTCTGTGTTCATTATTGTGGATTTTGGGGTTGACTCACAGTCATAGACAGAGACACAATAGGTTATTGAACTCGACTGGAGGAAAAAAATCGGATATTAATCCACACCCGCTGACGCACCCATCTTTGTATTACAGGGGTTAAATTCAAATGTTCACAGGTAAATTGGGGTGCTACTGTAATTTACTATACCATATTGCGCGAGAATGGGTGTGAGATAACGATCGCGAAAAGGACTTTAAAGAGATTGCTCCTTTTACGCTTACATTTTTACGTTTGTCGAACAGATTTTTTTCGTCTATTGTTACTGGCTGGCAGCTGTTCCAACATGCAGTTGTTTATACGGATCAAAAAGAGGAACGGATTTCCTAGTGTAATATGTGAAATCAGATTACCATTAAACCCCTGATCTAAACATGTTTCCTATTTCCCAATTAGCCACGGGCGCTTTCAACATTATCCGCTCGTTAATTTTACTAATACACATTTAATCGCATTTCATCGTAAACAAGCATAACAAATCTTTGAAAATAAACGAAAAAAACGATAAGTAAGATTATAAAGAATAGTTTATCAAGTAAAACCGAGACAGATCTTTTTTCAACCCCCAAAGGGCAGGAGTTACGTCATAAGCTCACGCTATGGAGCAATTAATGGGGTGCAGCTGCATACTACCGCCATAAAAGGTAAAGCAAACTTTACTTAAACTGTGGCCGCAAAGAATTTAATGCAGACTTAACATGAACTGACTTTTTGGACACTAGGATCAAAAAATGTGGAAGGAAAGGAAAAATTTAATGACATACTTGTTTAAGCTATTGTTCACTAATGTGTGGGAATTTCAAGGTATTGCATATTTGAGCATTTTTTCTAATCAGTTCTAGGACTAGCTACTACCAACCAACTAAGAAACTAAAGACTAAAACGATTTCAGTAATCACGTATTTCTGAGTAAACTATTATAGACTTGCTCTATATTTCTACGTTGATACATGTGACAAATCCGTGACATATTTGTAGAGGACCAATTAAGACGTAAGGTCGTACGTGACTTCGCGAAGTTTTAAACGTCGGCTGATTAATTTCTGACTCTTGTTATAAAATCGCATTGGAGATAATCTAAGGAACGTCTGAGATAGTGTAGGCGTGTTTTATATCGATTTGGATATGCCCAGCATTGACAGACGTGTGGGCCACGTGAAATACAGTAGTGTGTAATAAGTAATAACCATACGGCTGGAAAACGTAGTGCTTCTCAAAATGTATGTTTTTGACAGTGTAAGGGACACATATCTGCAATGTCAACTTTCAAAAGTGGTTGCAAATACTGTAATCGAAATAAATGCTTCGACTTTGACTAAAGTAATTGCTGACCTTGCAAGAGGTCAATGCTACGATTTTGTCCAATAGCCTGAGAACTTTTCGAGGAAATGCATATTGTATAATAAATTCCGTTTGTCTCATAAAACATTACAAATTGCTTCTTAAAAGGCGAACCTGTAGAACCTGTCCTACATATACACGCCATAAAATAAAAACAGCATGCCTTCTGCAAATCGATCTCACGCAGTTAAATCATTACTCGATCTTTACCGATTACATTACGATCTGTTGTCGGTAACTAAAGTATCATGCCGTGGTCCCCCGCTAAGAAAAGCCCGCCCCTCCTTTTCCGATGACTAAGGACTTTTATCAAATCAGGCACGAAAGCTTGTCTCGACCGATAAAATCGCTGTGAAAAATATTTTCCTGTTGTTTTTTAACACTCAACTTTTTTGCACGCTTTGATTTTGATCGATGTTTGAAACAAAGGAAGTTAAGGGAAAGCTTCATTAGAGTTTGAAATGCGCAACTGGCTGATTTTTGCACAATGAATTTTATAGTAACAAAATCACAATTGCAAACAGGATGGACTTAACACGGCTATTATGTGGGAACAATTGAAACTGCAGTAATTTCTCTTGTCTATGGAGCCGGGTGGTGCACAATGTCAATACTCGGTCGCGGTTGGGTCGAGGCATCCCGGGCTATCTAGGTCATGGCTGGGAGCTGCGTAATCCCGGACCGTGGACCGTGGATCCTACATTTTGTATGCAGTAAAGGTATACTAATTTGTACGGTGAGCCAGGGATTTAAATGAACGTTTGAAATACGTGTTGTTTATTTGTACTAGCAACGCGATAATGAACTAAATTCGTACTGCGGTCAAACCGAACGCTCTGCAGATAATTTTGGAGCGTGACGGTAAATTACATTGTTTTGTAAGGGTATTTGAGGATGAGAAATGTGAACAAGGCAATTTGAATGCTTGCTTCGATGAACTATACGATGAGTAAACTGTAAACTTTCTTCATATACAAATAGGGTTCTTATCGATAAACTTTATCTTGCTGTGACTTTATTCAGCATTAGTCATGATAAAGTTCACGTTTTTAAAAGAAACATAACATACTCTGTGTTGTAACGAAAATAAATAAAATCTCCTAAAAGATTTAAAACATTTGAACATTACATTTATGTCGCTCTATCATTGTGATTGCATGTCGATGCAAATAATGAACAAAAACACAAATTGCACAAACCGAATCGTTTAAAAACACATTGAAATACATGGAAATTTAGAGTAAATAAGGTGTGCTATAACTGCTGTGTTTAATATTACTCTGATAATATTTTAGTATGGATGTAAATCTAATTAATTAAGCCTTTTTATTAAATTACAGTCGAAGGCGAGTCACGCAACGGAACACAATTCAATTGGTTGACGCTTTCCGTGTTATGAAAACTTTTCATTTCGAAAATAAGTAAATACGTATTTCTAGACTAATACATTGTTACTATGCTAAATACATAGACACGGTTGTGAAAATAAAGATTACCTTCTAATTATTCTGCCACAATAAATTCTCTAAATGTTTTTATTACCTACATTGGACTGGGATTGATCTGTCTGCAAGCAATTTCATCTCAATAATCGTGTCACGTTAAACACTTAATATGAAAGTGGGTCTTATAACGACTGCCACCCGACGCATACTTGGGCTCCTTTATCGAGTGTCATCATACTTGAGCGTCGGATGAATGAGTCTGCGACCGTGACATCACCATATCAGCTTAGGTAATAATTAAGAAACGTATAACTGTACTAGACCGCTATCTGAGAGTCTAGTAATTAAAATGGCCTTTGAGCGCAATTAAATATTTTACGTTACACAAATATAAGACTTGGGTGAAGGCCATAACGTCCATTAAAGTATATTAAACACAAACTACTGTGACAGAAAATTATACAGCGGATATCCTTAGCTTTGAAGCTTTTATAAATGTTTTTGCAATTAAAAAGTCCTTTGTGAAACTAGTTTTTGCAGTGGACGATAAAAGTCATTTCAATATAAAAGCAATTTGGAATTTTGCTTTGTGGGAAGGACGGTAAAGTCCCACACTATTGAGTTAGGAACCCCAAAACATGGACAGGAAAAGGACCCTAAACAACTATTGCAAATGGGAATCGATTTGGTTCTCCCCCGCTCCGACCATTCGTGTGGCGAATTGATAACGATTTCGCGGTATCGTTACAGCTACACATACATGTGCACACAAGTTACAAGTATAGATCCCTCACTATAAGAGCAGTGGGCTGTACAAATAAATAACGTAACTATTGAGTAACATTCCAAGAAGGAAATACACAACAAGTTCTCTAACGAACTCTCAGTACAAGGAAAACTTTCAACCTCATATCCATAATATTTACATTTGCTTAATTCTATAAGAGCAGTACACTGCGAACTGCGTTAAGTAGAATAGTTATATCGATAAATAATATTTCAGTACGAGCATCGATCCCTCCCGCATTATGTATCGCAGACGAACTGTGACGTCTGAAGAGCAACTTTTTCAAACATAATAAAGATTTATTCCCAGTATTTATGAGTTCATCTAGAAATGACTGGGGCGAATGCCAAGTGGAACAACTACACATGAATAAATCTCGACTATATTTTTTGCTACGTAAGACTCTATTTGGGTTGTGTGAGTTTTAACAAGTTTATGTACTTAATATTAGGGGCATTATTAACTATGAGTGACAGTTTATGGTGGCTGGAGCTTTGTCGTTTCCTTATAAAGTTGTGGTAGACTTGTTAGGGAGCAATAAAATTGTGGTCTACATTGAACTTGTTCCTTTAAGTTGTGTAAAGTGTCAAGGGGTCGTTGAAAACTGCAGTCATATATTAAGTTGGCAAGAGGAATGCTGCACGCGTGAACGTGAAACTCCCCAAGTTTCAGAGGTACTGAATGAATTACAGCGGCGGGTGATTTACCGGCTGTTGCTACCATACGTTATGGGAATAGTTTAGAGTTATTTACTAAAGTATATCATTGTTTACTACATCATAAATTTGCACTATTTGTATGTTATTAAATGTCAACCTATGTAAAACGCCTTCAATACAGAAAAGATTAAACGCTAAGAGTAAAGTCAAGTATAAAATCTAGGACACGGAGGCGCCATTGTCGGGACAAGGCGCCGGCTTGGAAGTAAAGTATACAGCATTACCAGCATACATTTGCAAATATTTCATGTCCCTACTTACAGACTAATAAAGTAGAACACTGCAAGTAGGACAACACACGTGTGATAACTAGAAATGTGAGAGTATGAGGGGATTAGCTTTCGATGCGACGCAGCTATCGATTGACGAGTTTCTTCGCTGGACAGCTATACACACAAACATGTCGTCCACCTTTACTTGGAAGTTGTACAAGTATCAGATAAGTAATGCATACAGTGCGACACCGACAACCGACGTACTAATTTCTAACAGTTCTTTCACGCTTTTGTTATTTCAAAAATGTAAAATGACTTTAACAATGGCATGACATAATTTCGATACGCTTTTCATGCTGTGATTAAATCGTATCTAAATATAGAAATTACTCTCTCGTACATTATTACGCTATATACATTTTTTCAAACGTTACTTCGCACTTGTATTTTCTGCACATTTAGACCCCGAATTACAATTTGTGGATCATACAAAGAGCTGTTATGGGCGGGAATCGCGCGACACATTACTCAACCAAGCGAGTTCTAAATTAATAAAATAAGTACTCACATTGGACGTTGATGTAGACATCTTTGTACACGTATCCGATGGAGCTGGTGGCGTTACAACCGTAGTTTCCAGTATCTTTCTTCACAAGGTTGGTGATGACAATGCTGTTGCTATTCACTTGTCTCCTTGAGTTCGGTTCTGCCTGTTCTATGGGCTTTCCGTTATGGATCCAGGTTATCTTCGGCACTGGAGTACCACCAGCCTCACACTTGATCTCAGCTGTTTCGCCTTCTGCGAGGTTCTGGAATTCCGGCTCTACCGTGAAGAATGGTGCGGCTAAGGGGGATAAAACAAAATTATGTTAATTTTGAAAGAAAGCTAATAATTAATGGGTTATCGGGGTTCCGGCTCGAAGAGTAGAAGTAGGAACGGGATGGTTTTTATTTAATAAGAGTCTGACATTCCCTCTCGGGAGCAGACATAGGATGATGTTTCCACCTCAAAATATAAATTTGATTGGGGATTTCAGACCTTTAGACTCCATGATTAATTTATTTAACACACGTCATTTATTATAGGTTACGTGCAACATTAGCATACATATTAATGTCTGACTCTCTCCTCTTAGTTTCATAAAGTTTATCCACGTAGTCCTGACATCAAACTAACGTGAGTTTAATACTACACGTGTTGGTAATCAAACATACATTTGTCATGTGACATATGTTTAGGTACACCTTTATTTAGTATTGAACCGTATTCCAACCTAATTGCTCAAAACATAAGTCAGAAAAATGCTCAACATTTCCTTTTGAAACAAAATACAAAAAGCTACAAAAATCTTAGGATTTTTCCCTAAAATTGTCCATTTCAGCTTCACCACGATTGTATCAATGGAGTTCACCCATATTGCGTATTATTGTATAACATAATAATATTGTAGGCTAACAGAATGGAGAACATGATGTCAGAGGTCAAGTGTATGGCCTTTTAGATACATTTTATTGACATTTAACTCGTCGAGTACCGTCATTATAGACACAATTATAGAACAATAGGTTGCGGTCACCGGTGACCGCTTGGTGTTTGACAGTTTAAATAGACCTATGTGGTTCATAATTTTCATTCAACAGGTCCCTTAGATTTATAATGAAAATAACAATTTCTACAAGGTATAAAGTGTTTAAGAAGTCGGGAACAGATCCTAGTTTATTAATGCTTGTCTATTAACATTCATCTGTCATCGAATGTCCATTAATAAAACTTACTGATGAGTAATCAATGACTGAAATGCTTCGACTATAAATTACTTATGATTATTGATTTTATTTTTAACTTATCCTTTGTTGTTCACAAAAATAAATCTGGCTGCACATATTTCACAATTCGTCAAGCGATTTTTCATCCATTTTCTATTGTGTATCGTATTTGAAATTACAGTAGGTACGTCTTGTGCGACGGTGGTAGAATGCTCGAGGCGATTATGGCAGTCTGCATGCTACACTCAAGTGCTCGCAATCTAGACGAATTGTTGACGAAACAAAATGGAGATGAACTACAAGCGTAAGCAAGCCTCGGGCTTTCATACATTTTCCTTATGTCTGCGACATTTTTTAAAACCAGCTCTTCCGCTTTAAAGGAATGCGTGGTTTTTCATAAAATTGCTATAAAATATGGAAAGTATTTTTCGTTGAGTACAAAAGTACCTACTTCTTTTATACAAAAATGATTTCATAAGATTTCTTTTCTTAGCTTGCATTTTCTGTCATGAAAAGTAACATTCAAGAATGTATGTCTTGATTGAAATGCAACGAAAATATCGAACGAACATAAAATCAAATTTCTGATAGTAACGCAGCCATTTCATATCGGCACGAGACAGTCTAGAAATCGAATCGGAAATCATCTCTGATGTCGTATAACTAGATTAAATGTGAGACATCTAATAAACTTTTAGATTAACTCATCGAGTACCGGTTTTGCAGACACAATTATAGAACAATAGGTTGCGGTCACCGGTGACCGCTTGGTGTTTGACAGTTTAAGCAAGGAATGGTCCGCAACTAATTTGTTTACTGCAATTTGTCGTCCATAATTAATATGGAAATTGATTAAACGGCGTTTCCTTGAGTAAAGTGACTTCATTAATACTCTAGAACTAACTACCATGTACAAGGAATGCCAACCAAACGCTATAGTGCTTATAGTCTTCATTTCCACACTGAAAACTAATAAGAAAGTGTCGCAAATCACATCACAAAGCAAGTAGTATAATATTTACAAAGCGTGCTATTATAGGCCGGCCTCCAAACACGACGCCGCAATAAAAAGGGCCGGACGTTTATCCAGCACTACGGGAACCGGGTTACAGTGTTATTTGCGTGCATGACAAGTGATTACGTCATCGACATGCGTGTTCACGCGTGGACAGCATCAGTTATAGCAATTGAATTTATTGACCACTCCACTACTATGTCGATGTGTAGGTAGCTCATTTTTAAGATATCAAGCGTATTAAGACACATATTTTTATAAGCCTTATTGTTCCTGATACCAATAAATCCAGAAGACTACAGATCGGAGATTGATCACTTAAACAGAATGACTAAATTCACTCAGAATTGATCACCCCACGAAATCGTGTCGTCAGAAGCAAGTGAGAGATTATCCAACGAAAATGGGTGAGCAGACACCTGTTACTAATAACATAATACGGCTTGTAATTCATGGTTATGGCTTACAGAAACTCCCCCATCGTTTTGCTGAAGTGAATTATGGGGAGCTCATATCGAAATGCTCCCAAGTAGAGGGCGATTCCGTTATGCAATACTTACATCAGTGACTATTTTTACGAAAGGAAGATAGAAAGAAGATGGAAATACCTTTAAAATTTCAAAATGAGGATATAGACTATCTCTAGTGGACTGAGGACATTACAATATTTTGTTTCGTAAAATAATGCCGGAACTCGTTTTAAAAGCGAATTTTGCAAGTAAAATATTGCAATTGAAGAACAAGGCGTGTCAACAAAGCATTCAATTTTCACCCTAACAAACCAAACGGAAGGAAGCGAAAGGTCAAAAGTCACAATTGATTTGCTATAACCAAAGTGTGAACGATATTTTATAGCCTTGTTTGCGTAGCCCAGCCGTTACAATTTAATAGCTAAGGGCCATACTATAGTTTTTGGTTACTATCATGTGTGTACCATATGCTTTCTCATATTCGGTATCATGATGTCATTTGGACCAAAACATTCGTAAATAGGAATAATGTAAGACACAAAAGATGTAGTTATAATATGAAGACTTTGATATTGGTGGTCAAAGAGTTTTTTTTTCTTTGGGTATATCATACAAGATTTTGAGACAATGACAGACAGGGTCGTCCTTTGAAGTATGTAATAATTCGAATATGAAAAAAGTATGAAGGTAACCCTTGTACGCGTATGTCACATCTGATATGAACAAGGATTTTCGAAAAAATAAAATAATACTAGAAAGGAAATGTCAACCTTTATCAGCTGTCGTTTTTATCAAAAAGGGAAATTTTATTATAAATTCGTACCATTTTCGCAAAAAGCCACCCACGTTCATATTTCGATGTAATAATTTACAAAAATACCGAAAACATTTCATAACGAATTTGGAATTATGAATACCAACAAGCAAGCTTTTACTCTCATTTACTTTCGACGTCAATAATGTTTCGATCAAATAACATTATCATAATGTTCAGTAAACCCACGACATTTAAACACCCAAGACTTTAATAATCTAACACAATTACTACACAGTCCGTTGTGATGGTAATTACATTTACATAATTCGCCACGAAGGCTCCAAACATAGGTTTAACGACGTCTACTTGAGCTGAACCATAAACAATTACATATTAATTACGAACGCAGCCAAACTTTTATAGCGGAAAGCGGAAATGACGCTGTCACTGTCATTATTGGCATCATGGCGGGCCCTTGCAAAGGTATGTTTACAATCAGTATTGCGGAAATGGCGTACAGTTTGTAGGACCAGCTTTATTTGGCACGTCTTTATTGTGTGTTGGACGTCAGCTGAATAATTAGGAGCCGACTTTTGTTACACCATTTTTAAAGGAACACAAGAAAATGGAGGGTGACAGTTTTCCCACTGGAAAAGCTTTTTTACGACGGAAATTACTTCAGTTAACGTAGTCTTCATTAGAGCTAATGCTGATGTTAATTACACAAGCAAGGGCACCGATTTACATTATTACATTTGGGAAAACTTTGTAATGATGTAATTCTAAACATAAATAAGATTGTGTTTGCTTTTAAATTGCTTTCATTGTGAAATTTTTCCTTATGTACAATTTGCATATGGAAATGCTAATTTTCGAGTATTCTAAATCATTTTATAAAATTGCCAAAACACACAATGGTAGACGGTAGTAGGTGGTTCCAATATAAGTCTAGAAAAATCTAACAATATGGACGATTTATAAAACCGTCTGGTTGAGCTCAGGACAAAATCTAATAAAACCAAGCAGGCGCCGTTTAGAAGTGTTCGTTCTTGCAGACGTTCAAATATTCTAGGAATTATTGCGAACTCTACGATCGAAATAATATTACGGTTCAATACTGAACAACTGAACCTGAATAAGTTTTATAAACGATAGAAACGATTCAGGTGCCTGATATTTTATTGAACATTCAGTCTACCAAATAGGAATGTACCTACTATGAAACATACAGAATGAAGGAGGAGAATCAGTCGGGCAAAACTTTATAATTTTGAAATAAACTTAAAACAATTTGGAATAATCTGATATGCACTCACCTTCAATATTCAGTAGTATGGAGTAAGACTGAGCAGTTCCAACACCGTTGCTGACCTCACAGGTATACGTGCCCTGGTCTTCATACGTCGGATACCTGATCACCAGCGTCTTGCCGTAATTATCCTGAGTAATGCCTTGGGAAGAGACAATGCTTCGTCCGTTTTTCTTCCAAACGATTTGCGGTAAAGGCCTGTAGGAAACACGGATATTTTATTATAGGAATGTAGCATTGTAAATGAAACTGTAGACAGTCGAAAGAAATAGGAGATTGTGTTGCACGGTAGGACAGAATAAAACAAAGACCCTCGCGTGCTTGTCTGTTCGAAATAAACTCCAAAACTATTAAACAGATTTTGATGCGGTTTTCAGAATTGAATAAGGAAAGTCATTTTTTGGGGAATGATTGTGGGCGATGTTGTGAGTCATTCGTCATTCTATAATGCCCTTTTTAACTATCTTCTCTTCTATCATCTAATATTAGTTTCAATTGCTTCAAAGTCCGTAGGCACGTCAAATAACAGGGAGTGAATTGGCGGCATGTATGTAACTCGATAGCGGAGAGAAAAGCCCACTCGCGACCACTCATGCACGCGTAGCGGGGGCGCAATAGGTCAGAACCTGCACTGGGAGTGGGAACATAGGGCTGGTAACCAGGTGAATGTGAAAGATAGAGATTTAATTTAGATTTAGGATATCTTATAGGCATGTTAAGGGAATAAGGACTGAGACTAACTACAGTCCATTAGTATATAGTTTTTTAGATATAGAATTTTCTTCTTCGTGGACTTCATGAGAAGGTAATCGGAAGCCTTTTAAACGGGAACGTGTTATTAACAATCGCAGATAGTATTTTAAGTACCTATTCATAGGATTTATTTAATGTCTTCTGTAATTTTCAATGTAGACAGCCCTATATCAGCTGTCGCAAGCGTAGAATTGACATGACTAACCTAAAATCTCGGATTACACATGTAAGTAGAATGCTAGACTTCTACTGGTTTTATGAATGAAAAACTATGCGAGTTGTCTCCCAATGGACTCAAAAGAGAATGAAGGTCTTCCAAGACTAATTGAAATGGTGTAATAAATAATTACGCAAATGTGCACTTTTAGAATAAAGAATCCTCACGCCTGCTCAGTCCGTTAGTGTTCCCGTCCATTAGGCGCTCCTAAGTAGAATGTAGAACTCTTTCACAGAACACAGGGCAACGTACTGTGTATTATGTCGCGCTCGATAATCCTATAACGTCGCCACTAAACATCATACATTTCCTAAGCAAACAGCGTTCTGTGCGAGGAATATCAGATAGAATTCGCCAAGAACCCAACAATAATTTAAAAGAACAATGCAATAGTGCGTAACCCTACAGTTTGCGTGTCTACAAACAACATTGTTATCGATCAGTCGACTCTTACAGACACAATACACCGAGTTTTGCTTCGCTCCAATCTTTCCCTCAACCTACTGAACAAATAAATCAAAGATACTCACGTTCCACCGTAGATACAGTACAGTTCCACCTTCTTCCCCTTCAAAGCCTTCTCGACCTTCCTAGTAGTGTACTGGCGCACCGGCTCATGCCTGTTCAAGGTGGGCGCAATACCAGTCTGCGTGACTTCCAAATAAATCTTGTTACCAAACTTGTACTCATTCCTGAAGATGGAATTAGCTGTACAAATGTAAGCGAAGTCAACACTGGCGTCATATCGAGTCACGTTAGAGAACCAGAGGTTTCCTTCAGGATCCAGGGTCATGCGCGAGTTGTTGATGGTTTTCAGTTGACCCTGGTCGCCTTGCAACATCCAGTACACTTTGGGTTTGGGGTGACCATCAGGTGGTTCGCAGGTGAGTTTGAAAGGTTTGCCTTCCTCTGCCCTGACGACTTGTTGGCTGTCTGTCTCCTTGAAGGAGTTGAGTTCAGCTCGTCGTACGAAGACGCTGTTGGACGCGGCAGTTCCCCACTCGTTGTACGCGAAGCACTGGTACTGTCCGAGGTCCTCGTCACGCGGCTGGCTGACCACGAGAGTACCACGGCCTGATTGCTGCGAGATACGATTGTCGTAACTCGTGTACTCGAAGGGTTTGCCGTTTTTGATCCATCGGTACCTGTTGGGCAAAGATATTGGGTAAATAAACAATAGCAATAAAATAGTAACTACCTGTTAAATAAGGATAATTTTGTTAAATAAACCTCTATAATTCAGACGACTAATTCTAATTTCCTCATTATAAATGTTAAGAGCAAACCTCAAAACAAAAACAATACAAATCATATTTGTATTTAATCATTATACCTAATAACCATTGCAACAGAAAAGAACAAAAGCATACAATAAGCAATAATAATATTACATTTAAATAAATAAATCAATCACGACCAATGCGGTTTTACATCCCTGGGGAAATGATAACTATATCACTCCAGTGGAATAGGTACCTATTAATTGTTAAATGCCTATGAAACCTATAAATAAATTCAATCGCTTCATGATTATACAGAGTATGTCCAGAATTATGCGTAAAACATAGACATTTACTTTAATATAAAGAAAATTCATAGCTACATACATTTTGTACGAGTTAACACCACATTTATCGATTGGGAGGCGGGACGAAGTTCATTAGGGCATTTACGTAGTATACTTAAATTACCTAGGTAAATACACGATGACAATAGACTTCGCAAAAGGGAACCCTATTGCTTTTAATTTTGCAGGAAACATGGTTAAGTCTAAGGACCTGTACCACACCGTCTGATTACGTGTCCATCAGTCAAATTAACAGATAATGTTATGTATTTCCCAAAGAAATGTGTCAGTTAAGGTTATTAGACATTGTGAAACAGGCCCTAGACTTGGTAGTATTTACTGAACACTACATATATGATACAGATTTTGAAAGTGACACAAAGACCTTTAATCAAAGAATACTAGTACCTAATACTAAAATAACAAAGGCTATATTTCCAAACAAGACACAAGATGATATGTACATATATGGTTGTCGCAAAAACATTGACTTAAAGTACGGTACAAGACTTTAATGCGAACAAATTATAAGTAAGTGCGTCCCTAAGGGCTTTCGTCTTCCAGCGTACGCGTAGGTTCAAACTTATACCTAGACCCTATTCACAACCGTAAGCGTTTTAAGTCCCAGACGTGTAGCAAAAGGGGGAGTCTCAAGTAATAAACTCTACTTAAATATCAAAAGAGACCTAAAAGAAAATATTAAAAGCCAAGGTTTCAGAAGCCACAGGACGATTATAACAAGCGGTTAGAAAATTAAATAATTTATAGATCGCGGTTTTCCTTCCATTTATGTCATGATTAATTAATAAATAGAAGTATATTTATTTACTATTAGTATTAATTTCATAATTTCATTTATTTGTGCTCTATATTGATTGTTACTACTCAATTTTAAGTTCTACTTAAATATCATGCTACCTCTGTCATTTTATGAAGTAATAGCTACTTCCACGCGGTTTCATCCTCTCTGGTGCCTATTGATCGTTGTGCAGCATGATCTTTTAGCATATAGCCTTTCTCTATAAATGGACTATCCAACACAAAAATATTTTTTCAAATCGGACCAGTAGTTCCTTAGTTAAGCGCGTTCAAACAAACAAACTCTTCAGCTTTACATCATTTTATAAGATTTTTAGTGACAGAACTATACTTAACGCGACCTAAAAGTAAAAAAAAGTATGACATACCTATTTTCTTAGTAACCATGTTTTTTTAATAGAACCAATTAAGATAATCTTAAAAAAAACTTTGTATTACAATTTTCAAGGTTGTATATTTGAACAGTGATTTTCCACTTTCCCAGGTCATCGACTTATCCTGTTTGCTGGTTATAAAAGTGAAATAGGTACAGTAGTTAACCCACTTGTAGCGTAAACACATTAGCTTAGTGGGAACATAAAACTGTAAGCATGAAACTGTAATACAGGATGGCTTCAGTAGACGAAGTTATTGAACGAACGACGTGAATGCAAATTGCTGGCTGTTGAATAAAGATCTTCTGTGGAAAGTCTGGCTTTGCAACATCTGTGTCTTTGAGTGAAGTAAATGTATAATTGAGTGTTACTGACTGGGTGTCAAATCGTTTTCTTGTAATCATTTACTGCATTTAAAAATAGGGTCAAGTAATGAGAAGATAACATTGACGTAAGTTTTTTTTGAAGATCAAGTGCAATCGTTTCGGCTATGATAAATCTCGAATCAACGTCATGTTTATATGCCTTTTCAAATAAATAGAGAAGGTATCACCCACGCGGATTTGTGTTTTGAAAGAGGAAATCGCACATTGCTGAAAACTGTTTTCTTGTAATGAAACTTAGAACAAATCTACAGTTGAACTTTTACCATTCTGACAACAAGAACTTGACTCAATTACTAATATGAGCTTATGGGCAATGATAACAACATAATAAAAACAGAAAAACAGGTTTTTAACCGTCATATAATTATTTTTAGCGAATAAACAGCGTTATTCATACATGACATAATATTTCCGAGTGTCGCCTCTCGCCTCGAGATGACTGCATTCGAACCAAGGCTGAGTCACGCCATGAATAATTTATAGTCCCGCATTTATTTACAACTAATTTATCTATTAGTACCATGAATGGACCGCCATTGCGGTTTTTGTTAGTTTGTTTGTCATTTGATATTAAAAGCATTCAATTATAATTGTGTGGTGGGTGAGTGGTGATGTCGGACAATGGGTATCGATGACACGAGTACAGGCTTTCTGTAGCCATTTGCTAATTAGTTACCGGTAGCGACATGTTACATGCTAATATCATTAAGCAGTACACCGTTTGTATGCGTTTGAACTAGCCACCGGATTTATTACTACATTTCTTTTTATTGTTTGATTTGGCTAATTTTGGTTTTGAAATGTTCATGGAAGTTCAGGGAAGGTTTAAAATGTGAGAAGCGACATTTTTGAGGCGGTACGAAGTTTGCCGGGTCAGTTACTATATGAGTCGTTTTTTTTCAAGCTAGCTCTTCCTAGAACTTTCTTTCTCTGCATTCTATCGCTAAGCACCTTTGTATAATCACAAACTTATAACTACCATGAAGATTAAAGCTAATAACATTAGCGCATTTAAACAGTTCCTTTTGATATTTTATATCGTTCGAATCTATCATTTTCGTGTCATTACAAAGTAAAATTTTTGACATGAAACAGTGTTAAATGGTCGTTGCATACAAAACTTTTAATATTAAATGGATGTAAAATAAAAAGCAGAGTAACTTTCGAGGTCAAGTCGCGTTGAGAGCAAGTCAAGTTAATTGATATGAAGACTATAATCATTACTTCACCGTTATCTGCCGTGGGTCATTGATTTCCTTCGCCACAATCATAATAACTCTTCTTATAATTTTATATGGAGAGGTAATGTACTGATGTATTAAATTGGAGCTAATGTAGTGTAAAGTAATAATGAAGTATCAAGTCCGTAGTACAAAAAAGGTGCTATCGATTCGGTCGGCCCAGCAGTTTCGTAGATAGCCGCTGACACATCAGTTTCCAATTCTAATTATTATGACTGTTACAGGATAAACGTGAGATGTTCCGGCTCCGTTTCTTAGGTTGGGTAAAATGTTATTGTATCGTTTAGTTTTAAGATTTAAAATTAATATAGGCAATATCTTTATAAATTCGTGATAAAACTATTTGATTTTGGTTTTCACTTTTTAAATGACAGCTGAAACTTCAGCGCCCCGGCATTTCATGACGTTAAGAGGTAAGGCGATAGGTAAATTGATTCCATCGCCCTTTTAGTACTTAGTTACAACTTAGTGCTTCTGTTTAAGTACACTGTACAGAGCTGAAGACAAGGAAGTGATTTAAGCCCTGCTGAGCATTTAAAAGGATTTAACGTCTAGTGTCTCGATTTTCATAAAGTTACGTATATTTAATGTTGAAACTAAGTACGCTGTTTACTGTTACAATTACAATAGAGTCTACAATCTGCTGCATAATTATCTCTTCGGAATACAAATTCAATATCCTAAAGAAGTTAAAACAATAGGTACAGTCTCTTAGAGATAAAATTAAGATTAAATAAAGACAGCAGCTAATGATGATTATTTATTTTTTTTTATTTTTTTTTTACACTTTTTGGGCCGACGGGCTGCTTTTCGTGATTTATAAATAAACTGAATATCCGTTCGTTAGTCTCGCTAAAACTCGAGAACGGTTGAACCGATTTGGCTGATTTTGATCTTGAAATGTTCGTGGAAGTACAGGGAAGCTTTAAAAAAATTTTAGGCGGTACGGAGTTTGCCGGGTCTGATAGTATTATTATAACAATAGCACTCAATGTATCGATAGACATCGAACCTAAATATCGTATCCTAAAGTTTCAGTTTCAAGTGACAAATACTACTTCCTACTATTATTATAAATGCCAAAGTATGTTGTATGTTTGTTTGTGTCCTTCATGTCAAAATGGCTGAAGGGATTAAGATGAAATTTCGAACAGGAGTAGATTATATTGTGGAATAACACAGGCTACTTTTTAACTCACGGGACCGCGAGCCAAGCAAACGGAGAGAACCTACTGATATGTAAAGTTTCAGTCAATACTAAATGAACACCACAAGGTCGAATAATAAATAGACTAACTATCCAATAATGTTCAAAAACGGTATTAACTATAAAAGATAAAAATAAATATTACAACAAAAAACGTAAGTCAATTTGTTCGTCACTCAATCACAGTGCAGCGGATGAGTATAGAAACAGGAAGCTTGAATCATTTTAAGGATATGTATGCACTATAGCATTTAAGATCAAAGGCTACTTCCCTTGGGAAATCCAGGTTAGTTCTTGTAGCCTTGTGCGGACGCTTAGCATTGCATTTCGAACTTCGATTGCGATTTATGAATATCTAGAGGTAGTGTCCCTTTGAAATGCAGATCAGAAAGGGGGTCATGTTGTTTTTACCTACTTGTTCTCAGATAAACTCAGATGAGGAAATGAAAGGTTTTTCTGAGATAGGTAGGTAAGTGTGTGAGTCTGTCTCATTGGCTTTTCCACTGCAGCAGAGCTTTTTCCGAGCTCCGTAACTACGATTTGTTTAATCTATTTAGATATTAAACAATTCAGAACTTAACAGTAACTCTAACAACCAATCAATTTCGTAATCAGCATGAAATTGATGAAATCAAAATGTTCAGTGTTATCGAACGATGAAATTGTTCTGTTATTTAACAAAATACTTTAAATAGGTAATACTTTTAACATCCTATTTTCCTCTAATAACCAGGTAAATACTAAATACACGGCTAAACCACACGGCATCATAAATAACATATTTTGCACGCTATGTTCACTTCCATTGAGGAATTAATGAAATGTTAAACGTTCGCCATCTGTCATTCATAACACGGTAAATTATTATTATTATTATATACCTCTGTCTATCTGAATCGGTTCGGAACGGGTAAAATATTACATTTTACAGCAAACTAAGTAATATGTTTAATAAAATAATAACAAAGAAATAAATAGAATCACCGAGTGTCCTAACTTCTAATTCTATTATTTATATTAAATCTTTTTTCAGAATTAAAGTGTAGTTTCCAAGAAAAATAAATACAGATAAGTGAATTACTCAATTCTGCGCGAATACAACACAATGAACGTGTGAATCATTGCAATTGCAATAACCACATGTTTGTTTGCCATCCTATAGGAACGGCGCCGGCGCCACTTGAGCACCGATACACAAAGTAACATACTTAATTTACAGAATGAATGAAGAAAGCATTATTTTTCTTTGTCCACTCACGACAACCGGACGTAATGATAGATTAAAACGGTATTTCACTTGTCACACTGATTGGTGCAAGTTTTCACGTACCGAATACAATATTCAGCTGTGTGTGTGAACGAAATAAATGGACGTGATGTTGCGTGCAAGTCATGTTCACTATTAGAAGGAGTGATGGTTAATCAAATAGGTACTGCATCTCATAGATTACATGATACAGATTTTAAGTATCGAGGATGACACTAACAGAAGGATTAAACTCTTTCGCATTTTGTTATTCACCTGTAACTGTCGAATTGCTCTAGTTCTGACGACTCTTTGTGTAATCTCTTATCTCTTTACCTTCAGCACTGCCTATCCGAACGTTACACTCGTAAAACTTTACTTTATAGACCTGATTTCGTACTAAACAGCTCGAATACAAAGTCGGATGACCTAATACCCAACCCAACTATGATAGTAATAGTAAAACAAGGTGACGTACTTAGGAGCCGGTTCGCCTTCAGCCTCGCATTCAATGATGAACGGTTTGTCCACCTCGCCGGGCTGCGCGACTTGGAACAGAATCTCCTCTTGTGTCGGCTGCTTCACGATCTTCGGCGGTGACGTCACTGCCAACAAAACGAATATGTTATGACGTGTTATAATACTGAGTGCATCATGTGAAATGATTAATGATATTTTATTTATATGTGTAATGTATGCATCATAATACAATCATGGCGTAAAAATAAGATAATTAACTCGCATATTTTTTTTGTTCAATCTAGGGAATATTCAATATTGTATCTGTTGATTAGGACGCAAGTGCACCTGCTTCGTATAGGTCTCGGGTCAAGTAAATTTAGTTTACCAATAGCATCCTTGTATCTGAATTTAGAATAAAGATTTATTATCCCTTTAGATTTGATTGATGTAACTAATACTGTTTCTACTTATGTGTGTTGGTTAGGCATTTATTCATCTTTTTCAAATTAATTATATTGTAATACTTATGCACCAAAGTATTCTTTTAATTTTAACATTTTAACTAATTAAATTAATTAAAAACTATTGATATTATGTTTAATTAATTTAGTATGTCTCACAATAATTATTAGACATTTAACTACCTGCCTCGTTAACCGATTGGTCGCAAGTACGACTACTGGGCAAGGGGTCTCGGGTTCGATTCCCGGGTTGGGCAAAGTATTACTGGGATATATTTTGTCATTTCACTAGTACTTAGCACAGAGTCTGGAAATGTGCCCGGTATATGGCAATAGGCTCATCCCCTATTACATGGGACTCATAACATAAATACTCGACTGCACGGTTGGTGCGGTGGCTGGACAACCGGCTGCCGTGCAACGTGTCGCGGGTTGGATTCCCGCACCGAACAACACTTTGTGTGATCCACAAATTGTTGTTTCGGGTCTGGGTGTCATGTGTATGTGAACTTGTATGTATGTAAACGCACCCACGACACAGGAGAAAATCCTAGTGTGTAATCCTAAAACAATCACATTAAAAACAAATGAAAGAATATATCTATTGGTCAATTGCAACAGGGAAGGTATGTGCATTGCATTATGATCTAGTTGGCACTAGTGTCTGCCCTATACACTCCCTGCCAATCTTTGATAGTGGACCTCAGTGCCAATAGTATGGCCTGTATGGACAATACATCAACAATACATACAAAATGTAATAATATGTAAATTTCAAAGTGAATCTTTGCATACAATTACTTGTAAATAATCTTTGTATTGTACACATCAAAGTATTTAGCATGGCCAAGGTGATTCCGACATTGGGAACTATACTAGCTATTAGTTTTATAGTTTCTGCATTTCCAATTAGATGTTATTATGGCTAGACTTATAAGATCTAAACTGAGGTTTCTTATAAGATTTGGTTACTTATGTTGTTTTAATGATAATACATTTTTTTTACATATTTCATTAAGAAATTGAAACATTTATGAACATTAGATTTATTTTTAACATAACATCAAGCCTTTTATCCCCGAAGGGGTAGGTGGAGGTGCACACAGAAGTAACACCCACTTTTCACTATTTAAGTTATGAGTCCCATGTTATAGGGGATGAGCCTATTGTCATATACCGGGCAAATTTCCAGACTCCGTGCTACTACTGAGAATTTTTTTAAATCCAGTAATACTTTGCCTGACCCGGGATTATTTTTGTTAAGGTGTATAGTTAATATTGTTCATTAAAATTCAGTAAGACAACAACAAATTAACAATCACAATATTAGAAATACGCAAGCAAGAAAACATGCATATTTTCGAAGAGAATTTCAGATAAATTAACATGATCATTGCTTTTATTTTTAAACATGAGTATGCAGACAGGGAATGCCAACATTTCGCTATAAAGATATGACTATAAAAATTATGTATGAGTATGGATACCCTGAACACTGAATATTCACACCATTCCTTACACAAAACATAATAGCTATAATAATCTATTTTAGCGGGCACACTAAAAGGTGGGTAGAACAGTGCTAAATTCAATCTATGACATCAAAATCTTGATCACGGCCTGAGCAAGGACAAAACAATGTTGTCAATTACAAATCTGGCATGTAGACTACTAAATTAAGATATGATTATGATTCTACTGAGTAATGAATGACACCATTCAAGTCATCAAGGAATTCCACGGAGGACCAATGCTTTAGTTTTTTTTATTTGGCTCTAGGCTGGTGTTAGTCTAATAAATAAAAATGGGGGAGTTTAAGGGATTTCTGATTGACACTTATGGAGACAATTTCTTGTACTTAAAGTAATAATTAAATTGAATATTTTAATGATTTGTAACACACTTGTATAAGCATAATAAAAGAGTTATGTGTATTTTGAATACAATTTACTCAATATTATTTAGTTAAAAATAGTAAAATCATTTATAACGGTTAAGTGAAGGGCTGCAGTTGTTCTAAATCAACAAGTCTTGTCTCATAATTAAATTATATGGGGATGGTGCAACTAAGAAAAAGTTGAATGAACTATAGGTTACAACTCAATAACCAATTGAAATCCATATAGAAAAGACAATAAACATTAATAACAATGTAAATAATACTCACATAACGCCGCCGCACATGATATTAACGCGATGAAACACAGTACTTTTGTTGTACCCATCTTTACAGGTCTCCTACTTCGTAGAACTTGTGTATCTAATAAAAAATCAAATAAACCACTTTAAAACTTATTTAAACACATTTCTCCGGCACACATGTTCACCGCACTCGATGACCTAATCCGAATAAAGCTTGGACCACAATGACAACACCCACTAAAAATAGCAACATCAAATACACTAAATTGTTGACCTCTTATAACACAAAAAGTAATTACGCAAACTCAAAAAGTACCGCAATTCCCTTAGCCCTTATGATTACACAGTTTCACAACGGGCTAACGCTAGAAATCCCGCACAAACTCACTATTTGTTGCCGTACACGGCAAATCAATAATTACATTTCAATAATGGAAACTGGATTAAATCTTAACATAAAAAACATATATATATTTTAACTAGTGTTAATTATTACCTAAATGTCCGTTTTTATAATAATATCATCGCGAAAACCAACTGAAATAATAAAATTACGGATATAAAGGCGGGGCCTCTGAGATTCGCTGTCGTTCGTTCGTTCAGCACTTGACGGTTCAATGGCTTGGCATAGACAAGGACTCTATTCCTTAGCCATGGCCGTTTTACGTGCTATCTCTTTTGCACTTACCGCAAAACTATATTTTTAACTCATTCTTTCTTTTTTTAATCATAGACAAATGAAGGAATGTTGAACGCAGTCGTTTAGAAATGTCATTTTCAAATATTATTGGCATTCGTCTACCAGTGCAATTTACTATTCCTATTGGATCTGTAGAAAAAATAAAATAATGTTAATATAGTTATTTCATTACTTTAGCTTTCCACCTGTGGCCTCAGCTACATGGAATTTAGAAAAACTATATCTTGAAAGTCTCAAAAAGTTATCTAAACCCCGATTCTACATACAATACAAAAACGGCCAGCCCAATTTCCTTACAGTAGAAATTATTTAGACAAATCTAAAAATACTAAAGTAAGTATAAGGAATTAAAATGTGTAGGAATTATATTTTGCGTTTATTCCAAATATTTTTCATTTATGAAATAAATACTATCACAAATGGAAGGATTATTCTGTGCCACCAGGCCAGAAGCGCCTAAGGTACCTCTGTATAAGTGTAGTGTAGGTACAGGTAGGTAAGCTTTAATTTTGTCTTACTTCCTCGACTCCTCGATGTTATAACCAGTGGAACACCTACTTAACTCGACCTATCTTTCAGTCGTTTCGTGTACCATACATGGGGATTTGGATTAACTCCTTGACTTGAAAGAGGTCCTTTAGGTTACTTGTTTAGCAGTTAACGTCTTCTAGTTTTGGTTGATAATGATGAGTCAAGAAATTATATCTAAGTTTAACTCTTTGGAGAAGGTATATAAACGTGCAAATTTTGAATAAGGAACTTAATTTTTCTTAAGAATTTTATTGGATTTATCAAAAAGAATAAAACACTGGGTAGCCATGAATTTTCAATCAAATCTGACGCTAAATGTAGTCAGTTACAGAAATTTTCAAAAATGATAGTGGTGCTTTTTTGACTTTTAGATTTGTAATTTGGATGTAAAATCTATGAAGTGTTATTGCTTAAAAGTTTTCAGAGACTAAAGTAATATTCTCTTCGCGTACCTATCTATTTAATCCTAGATCTTATAACATCTACAGATACGGAACCATGGATGTGGGTAAGGATTTCTCATTTTTTATTGCTTGCATTGCCATGGAAGACAGAAAAAATATCCATCTAACTCCGTGCCGCAACAATACCTAATTTTCAAAAACCGTAATGGCTTGTCTATCAGGAGCATCCGTGTTACGTGCACCCCCAGGTGTTACGAGAATTTTGTGTTTACATTAAAATATGTACTTTTTAATTTCCCAGGCGATCAACCACATCATAACCTAAGAACAAGGCATAGCTTCTACATATCAAAAGGGTCCAAAGATTCAGCTCATAAAGAATCCTTATGCAAATCAGAAGTCAATGTTCCGCAAGAAATCATCGTAAGACCGAACAGCTCTCGAGAGACACACGTCACCTTTAGTAGCCTTGGAGAATACTATAAGAAATATGAACACGATGAGGTACCTGTAAAAGATTCTAGTTATGAAGAGGTTACAACAACAGTACGCAACAAATCATTAACAAATTCAGAACTTGACAAATTAGAGATTAAAATATACAGGAATATATCACAAGAGCTTCAAACTGATGATAACTCAGTCGGTAGCTTGGAGTCTAATATTAAGTTTTTCAGAACGACCGTCCAAGAGATTTTTGATAATTTCTACGCCAATATGCGCGATTTCGAAATTTATAAAAAAAGATTTAACGAAATTCTCGCAAAGAATAAAGAGGACGCAGTGGCTGATATGGAAGAGTTCATTAAAGACATGATTCAACACATAATGTCTTCAGAAACAGTCATTTCAACAGAGACCAAGAATAGTAATGATATACCGCCACCGCTGCCGCTGCCGCCTCCGCCTATGACACTTAGAGACAAGGAGACAAATGTTAGCAGCTTTGACGATACATCAAGTAACGATATGACTATTTCAACAACCGAAAATTTGCAATCGGTAATTGAATCTTACAAAAATGACAACTATCTTACAGACTCTACCTTTGATGACAATACATCAAAGGCGAAAGCTCCTCCAACTAAGGAAGAGATCTTCAATATTTATCTTCTAAGCGGAAGTCCTTGCGTAGAAATTAAAATGAATGATCGAAATCTGTTATCTGAAATCAATATAAAAGAGCCGTTGAAAATGCTAAACGAAGGTAAACACGTTGCGTCTGCAGATAACATGGAAAGACTCAAAGCTAAAAAGATGGAGCTGGAGAAGTACGTGGAGCGCCAGGCACAAGACCCAAACGTGCCGGATAGAGAAATACCCGTCAAAGTTTCCTACGCGAAGAAGAATATACATCTTAATGAGGACTTTTCTCACGACCGTGACACTGAAAAATCCTTTATAACTAAACTCTGTAATTTTTTGTGCAGAAAATTCCGTAAAGCGACTTGAAGTCGCTGTTTTATGTTTTTGATTAAATAAATGCATTGTTAATATTCAACAATACTTTATTGTGGACTAGACAAAGAATAGAACAAGGAACAAAATCACGATTCACCACATTCTTCAAAATTGATTATATACCACCTCATCATGGCTATGTGTTTACTAAGTTGTAGTGCAAATTCTTTCTTCATGTGCAAAAACTCCCTGATGACCGGCAGATCTAACATAACGAATGCTTGGCCGTCTATTTCCTCCTGTTTCATTTTGTCTGCAATAAGTTTACAATCGTCAGTGCTACTTAAGTAAGCGTAAACGTCGTCGACTGACCAATCCAGTGGGTTCGGGGATAGCTTCAGTTTACCCTTCATCCAAGACATCGCCATATCTTTCTCGAACATCTTGTTATCGGACGGCAGAGGATCGTAAGTGTTGAATTTCAACTTTTTCAGTTCTGGTTCCTCTGAGTCCGATACGTCTGAAATATTTTTGGCATCTCTAGAATTGGAACTACTTTCGTTCGTCTCATTCTCAGTGTCGCTGTCTTGCGAGGTCTGTTTTTTGACGCAGGTGTTGTTGTATATTGTTTCCACGTCCTTTTTGTTCCAGTGGGCTTCCTTCATTTGCAGGGCGAAGTTGGGTAGCTTGGCGCCGCGTGTCTTCATCTCCAGCTTGGGGTAGTTGTGCTTGGGCTCGCGCTTCCTGCGCTGGCTGCGCTTGTAGTCGGCGCTGTCGGGAGAGTTGTGGCGCGAGTTGTGGCGCGAGGCGGTGCGCGAGTTGGGCCGCGTGCCCGGCTCGGACGGCGGCGTGGAGCCGGCGCTGTGTTCGCTCTCCACGGACTCTCCATCCTTGTTGCTCTCCGACTCCTGCGACGGTTGCTGCTCCTTCTCCTTCTTCTCTGGTGCAGCCTTCTTCTTTTTCCTCTTTCCGTTGAGACTGCCTTTTGGTCTGCCCCGACGTTCTGTGTTATGATCTGTAATTATAATGTTTATATTACAGACGGTGTCATTAATGATTACAGAGATGGTACATTTTTGTAAATTTGGGGTAAAGTAATAACAGTTCATCGATACTGTAAGGCCAAAAAAAGAATAGCATGGTTACTTACGGAAGGTGGATTTGTCAACACGTTGGCAGTCGTTGGGACAGGCCTCGGCGTGCTCGTCGGGCCCGAATAGACACGGGCAGGCCTGCAGCTTCACGCACACCTCGCGGCAGAACCCGGACACTTGCGTCGCCGACCGCGCTATCGGCACGTACGCGTGGTACGTACTCGACTTCAGCCTGTTACCGATCAAATAATAACATTAGATTATTGCAAATTATTATCAACGTTGTATTGCAAAATCAAAGAAGAGAATGCTAAAAAAGTACTCTGAGATGGAATGACAGGGTTGATTACATTATGATACTCACTTTGCCCTTAACATTTCGAGCCGCATGCCCTCTTCAGGCGGCCCCTCAGTCTCCCAATCCTTGAGCAACTTGGCAGGCTTGTATGATGCCGAGATTATTTTATTTAGCACCTCCTTAAGTACCAAAGACAAAGGCCCAGGACCCACGTGTTTTGGCAACTGAGACAATTTGTTTCTACTAATCGATGGTCCCGCATAACATTTGTAGTTAAAGAAAATCCTATCGCACCATTCATCTGAACACTTCATGTCCTCTTTGACCGTTCTCTCTTCCACTGGCTTTGGTTGCTCCTTTTCTATTGTAGTATCGGGAATGTGTAGAGCGTAGTCATTGCTATCGCACCATCCGACTGGGAATAACAAGTCACTGTCTTGAGCATACCAGTACTTCTCCCCAATAGGCAGGAGCTCCACGCAGAGCATGTGTTCTACAATACTATCTACATTTGCTACGTGAATTTCTTCATGATTCTGTGGGTTAACAGCCTCTAATTTCATATTGACTTCAATGCCTTCGAGCGGTACTTTGTTCCCGAAGCAGTAGTCTGGCGCTGGCACTGATGACGTCATTGTCAGATATTCGTCCCAGTCAAATGGTCCTTCTTTCCAGATTTTGGGATTCTTGAAAGTGAAACCATTTTTCTGTGCCCACCCTATGGGGTATATGTATGGGTGCATAGAGTCGCAGAGCCAGGCCATCTTAGAGTCCTCGTAATCTTCTACATGGTCATCGATGACTACAAGGAAGTGCAAATTATTGAACACTTTGGTAACAGTCGCGGGACGGATGGTCCTCATGTCTTGTGGACTTAAAGCTTCTACCTTCATACCACTCACGAAGTTGTGAGACTCCAGGTTCTGGTTTGGCTGTGGACAATAATACGTGATTTTGAGACAAAGTTGGAAAAAACATGCTCTAGGGGAGGGGAGGGGCTTAAGATTGAAGAGAAGAAATCATTGTTTGTAATCCACTTACAATCATCGTCCGTAACTTAAAAAAATACCATCACATCATACAGGCTATATGAGACAAGATTGAAATAACTCAGTTCCAGTAATATGTGGCGCAACACACGCCCGTTGATATATTGAAGACAAACAAACGGCACGTTATTTAGAACATTTCCCTCGATTCACATCACTGGTGGGGAAATAACATGCGATGTTTTCAAACAAAACAAACGAACCTCTACCATCTACCATGCATAGCTCAAAATATAAAGGATGGAAGATTATTATAGTGATTGTCGCGGGAAACACTGCTTTCATGAAATTGTGCATCGTTTGATATTGATTCGCTTCTAAGTTCGCTTCCATATAATAACATCAACTAAGGCTTTATTCCACTTATTGATTACTAACATACACTGAGTGATCCAATAATTATTAGTTTACAGTAACAAGTACCTATTCAATTTGCTTTTTGTAATGCATTATAAAAGGCTATTTGCTGACCAACAACGTCTTTATTTCTTACTAGCAGCCCGTCCCGGCTTCACACGGGGTAGACAATTATTAATTTTTTAGAAATTTGAATTGTTGTATTGACATAACTACAATAGTTGGACATATGCTACCGCGGAGTTTTTTGTAGACATTATGATGTTCTTCAATATTGTTGTACGTTATTTTGTTCTATCGCTAATAGTTTCGGCAGCGCATTCGACGACGAAAGACATTTTAAGACTCATTTTTCTACACCTTCGGTTACATTGTTCAAATTTTACCAAAGATACCTATTTTTTTTTAAAATGAAATGTAGCCTATGTCAAATTGGAAGAATGTAGCATTCTTTTGGTGAAATAATTTTTTAAATCGGCCCAGTACTTTTTGAGCCTATTCATTACAAACATACAAAAATAGGTACAAATCTTTCCTCTTTATAATATTAGTATAGATTCTATTTTAGAAATTAACAGTAAAAGCCCGACTTCTAACACCTAACGTTAACAAAACAAAAAATAGCCAGGTTATTGAGATAATATTCCCTTCGAAGAATAAAAGGAAGGCAAACTAGAGAAATGTTTATATAAATAAATATTTACTAGTATTTTGTGTGCCTACAGATAAGTTAATTACCTAGTGTCATATGTGTGTGTATATCTTTATTAACCGTTCTACACAACCGTCACGGTTACACAGAAGCTAGTAATCGGAATGATAAAAATAAGCAGATTCATAATTATACACACTTTGTGTTATTAGACCAAGGTCTCTGGTTAGTGAGTTTTTAAATCGCAAAACATGGGCTATTATTGTTATTTCTATTTTTATCGGTGTCTAAATTATGAAGACAAGAATCAGATGAGAGTAGTATGGAGCTTTTTAACCCATTTCGTTTTACGTCAACCGATCATAATGTAGATATCTCTAGATTCTCTCTATCTTCTGAGGAAACTACTAAATACTTATAAACATAAACATTTTACCAGTGTATTAAATGGAAACGTTACCTCACACAAACATTTTTCTCTTCTCGTGGATGTATAATGGGAACCCGCATTGGACACGTTAAAACGCTAAATCAGTCTATCACTGCATCAATGGTGCACTTGAATAATTGAGATAATGGACGTAGAAAACCAAATAGATAGATAGAACTTACTTGGAACAAGTCGGCTGGCGTAGGTTCTGAGATCGCCTCCTCAGCGCTCTGCCGCAGTTGTGTACTCAACTTGTTCTTGCACGAGAATTTATTGACTTTACCCGGATATTTGAATTGCCACGGAGAACCCTGTAAATACAAAATATGCTATGGTTATGGTGGGTTGCACGTTATACCTATGTTCGCCTAGCTATTTAAAAGGTTTAATCAGCAGCGTCTCAAAGACTGCCCCTAAAATAAAAAGGCCTATTTAAAATTAGGTCACCGCTAATTTTGAGATCATAAATGGATCTCAGAGACAAACTTTTAATGTGCAACCATGAACTTTTACAACAGTCGAATTAAAAAAAAAAACACCTTTATGCATCGATAAAGATGAATCCAATCGAAGTCAATTTTTACATGACAACTGAAACGCAAATAGGAATCTTCATCCTTTTTGTAAAAAAGTTAACAACCTTCAAATATCTGATAGAACAATTTACTTGACCAATTATGAACACATTAAAGACTCCTATTAGTATCGAGGTCAACAAAACCGATCAGTTTAATACAGTGACGAGTATTTATTACGGTTCCTAGCCACTGACCCACATACTACACAGTATATTGATAAATAATGTAACAATGGCGTTTTGATTGAGCTAAAATTACATCGCACAATCTAGGCTAGGCGCAGACGACCTGAAAGTCGATAATACTAAATGTTATATGAAATACTTTGTTTAGTATTCACGTAGAGTCACAGACATGGCGCTCAATATTTTTTTTATTGAAAGGCTGGTTACGTATGAGTCATGATTAAGCTTTTAATTAAACCCTCGTTTTGCGTTTTCTAAAACCATATCACGCGTAATGAAGCCTGAAAGCATAACAATCCATGTGTAGCTTAGTGGGATAAATAATAAAAATTAAAAAAAAAATCCCTGAATTTCACTAATCAAAATTGCATAACTTAAATAGTGAAAAGTAGGTGTTACATTGTACAGTGGCATTAAGTGCCGTAATGTGCACCTCTGCCTACCCCTTCGGGGATAAAAGGCGTGATGTTACGTTATG